ACCTGACAGGAACGGCACCAGTCGGAGACATCCGCAGTCATCGTGACCCAGAAGAACCGGTCTCTTACTCTATCCAGAGTGCGCCTCCCTCCTTGATGGCCAGACATGGGGTCATCATGCGCCAGCCTCAGCACAGCCGGCACCAGGTGTGCCGGCACGACAACTTGCTCGCGCTCTCGGCCGCGGCACCTGTATCTGTTGATCAGTAGTCCGGCTTCGATCTTCAACGCGTCTCTTCTCCTCCAAAGCCGTCGTGCTCCTTCCGGAGCGGTCTGGGCGAGCCTGCCGATCGCGATGCCGTCCTTGACACAGCGCAGAGCCTCGTCCCGCTCCTGCTCCTCCGGTGTCACCAGAGCCGTGTCTGTCAGACGCACGGCGCTGACCGGCGCACGGTACAGCGCGTCGGCATGGGGAATGGACTTCCCGGCGACGTGTTGGATGTCGAGCTCGAACTCAGACAGCTTCAGAGCCCACCTGGCGAGACGTCCCTTCAGCTTGTTGGAGGTGGAGAGAGCCAGCAGTGGGTTGTGATCCGTTCTGAGCACGCAACGCCTCCCGTAGATGTAGACCCTGAAGTGTTCCACGGCCCAGACCAGTCCAAGACACTCCTTCTCCGAGGTCGAGTAGTTACGTTCGGCCTTTGCCAACACTCGGCTGGCAAACGCGACGGGCCGGCCATTCTGAGACAGGATCGCGGAGATCCCAACATCGGAGGCATCAGTCGTCAGCTCGAAGTCGCTGTCCATCTTGGGATACGCCAGGACTGGCGCAGTCACCAGAACGCCTCTCAGTTGTTGGAACGCACTGTCGCACTCTGTAGTCCATCTGAAGCCGTTCTTGAAAGTACGGTCTGCCTTCCTCTCCAACAGTCTCAGCAGCGGCTTGGCCATGTCGGCGTACTTGGGACAGAAGCGCCGATAGTAGGATGTCAGACCGATGAACCTCTGAAGCTCCTCGTGCGATGCTGGCGTCGGGTAGTCGCTTACGGCCTTGAGCTTGTCTGGATCAGGGCGGATGCCGTCCTGGGTCACGAGGTACCCCAGGTAGCGTACCTCCTTCTTGGCGAAACTACACTTCCCCAGATTCAAGAGCAGATTGGCGTCCGCGAATCTCCCCAGGATGTCGTCCAGTCGTTTCAGGTGCGTGTCGAAGTCCTTCGACCATAGGATGACATCGTCCACGTACGACAGGGTGTATAGCCAGTTCGAGTCCGCCAGAAGCATCTGGAGCGCCATCTGCAGCGTTGCGCCTGAGTTCTTCTGCCCCATGGGCATCCTCAGCCACTCGTAATGGCCGCTGTGGGTCGAGAACGCTGTCTTCTCGATGTCACGCTCGTCCATCTTGAACTGCCAGTATCCGCTGGCCAGGTCCAGTGTGGTGAAGAAGCTGTTGTTCTGCAGACAGTCCAGGGCGTCGTCGATCCGGACCAGCGGGTGTGCGTCGAACTCGGTCACTTTGTTGAGGCCTCGGTAGTCGATGGTGAGCCGACTGCTACCGTCCTTCTTCTTGCACATGACGACGGGCGCGCTCCACGGGCTGTGGCTTCTGCGGATGAGTCCTTTCCGCATTAGGTCCTCACAGAACTCTTCGGTCTTCCGTCGGGTCTCCCAGTCGGTTCTGCGCGGGGGTATCCGGATGGGCAGCTGATGCTGGTCCTTCAGACGTATGCGGTGCTTCACCAGGTCGCACATACCGACCTCTCCCCGTACGGAGAACGCGCCGTTGCGTCGCAGCAGGACCGCCGCCAGGGCACGGCGCTGCTCGTCCGTCACATCCGACTCGGCGACCTTGCTGCGGACTATGTCTTCCAGCTGTCGCTCTCTTGCCTCCCTTTCCTCCCGGCTGAGATCGCTCAGCGGCGAGGCACGCACTGTCGGCGGATCCGCGTAGCCGACACATCGGGCGACAGTGCACGACTTGTACAACTTCACTGCACTTCGACCCGGGTTACACAGCCGCAACTGAACAGCGCTGTCTGTCCTGATGACGTCCACAGAGCTCGAGACGCAGAGGCTGTTCCCGTAGCGTCGTGTGAACTTGCTGTCCTCGACCAAGGTGATGTGCTTCCCGGGTGCACATGCAGTGTCGGCCCGCACTCTGCCCGCCAGCAGAACCTCAGACGCCGCGGGGATGGTGACGTCCGCGGTGAGCTCGACTGGGTGTCCGTCGGTAGCCGGACGGACGTCGCGGCTCTCCATAGACGCAACTGCAGCTGGGCCGCCGGGTACCACCGCCCTCTCGCCGAGGCTGCGTCCGCCGGTCACACGCCTGTCGGCCGTAGAGTTCTCCGTCAGTCGCATAGTCATGTGCAAGAAGTCGAGCGCCACCTCGCCATACAGGGACAAGAAGTCATTGCCGAGGACGCATTCGGTGTTCACACTGTCAACAATCAGTACCGTGTGACGCCGCGGCGGCAGGTGACCACACTCGACGGTTGCATCAACAGTCCCCCTCACCTTCAACGGCGTGCCATCAATAGTCACCGGTGCCGATGCAGGGTGCACGAGGGGTCGGAACGCTTTGCACCCTACCGCCGGGCAGCTGCTGGTGACGAACGTGACGTCACTGCCAGTGTCAGCAAGCCACGTGACGCGGACGCCGTCGATGGCGCCCCGGATCAGCGGAGTCGTCCGAGCCACCCTAGAAGAGGCTACTACAGCGGGGACCGAGGAGCGGCGGCTCACATCCTCCTCGGTCCGTTCCCGTTTCCCGACCGCCGGTCTGCTGGGCGTTGGTACGGACAGTCAGAGCGCCAGTGGGAGAGTTCACCGCAGTTGAAGCAGCCCTCCTCCCTCCGACGGCTCGATGTTCGGCGCCTGTTGGACGAACGGGACGAGCGGTTGTAGTCGCGGCTGGGACGGAATACGCGACATGCCTGCATCTGCTCCTCCAGCATCTGGATCTTGTCGGACAGCGCCGACAGCACCGAAGTCTCGCTGGGCTGAGGTTGAGAGCCGGTACTCCACGCTCCGACTGTTCTCCTCTCGGGGCACCATGGACGGCCCCCACAGATGCGCCGCCTCCCGTTGACGTCTCGATCTGCTCCAGCTTTCTCGCCTCCAGGAGAACCGTCTCTGTCGACCACGTTGGTTGGTAGAACGAAAGTATGTGTTTCCTCGACTTTTCTCCGATGCCCATCAGAAACCGATCCTTCACCAGCCGCTGGCGGTATGTGGCGTCCTCCCACTCGGGGTAGGCGCGAGCACACAACGTTTCCAGATCGTACAGGAACGTCGCCAGTGATTCGCCGGGCCTGCGAATACGCTGATGAAACTCCAGCGCGTACTGAACAGCGAGTCCGGGAGAGTCGAACTCGGCATTCAACTTCTCGCACAGTTTCTTCCAGCTGTTCCTGTCGCCGTCGGAGAGGCGCATCGCGAAGTCGAATGCCCGACCGGTGATCGCCGGGAGCGCCATCACCGCCGTAGTTTCGTCACTGAAATCGCTGGAGGTCTTCTGTTCCGGTTTTGAACTGTCCCAGTTGCAAGCACGGGCAATCACTTCTATCTTGCTGATCCACGTTTTTACATTACCACTGCCGTCAAATTCCGGTAAACGGTAATTCTTCGCCATAGCCATGGCTCCGTTGCAGTTTTCCGCTGCCACCATGTGTTGCGTTCACTCACCGAGCACTCGTCGATAACTGCCGCGTCCGTGCGGCGCTGGCCCGCGCGGAGCGGGACGGGGTTGTGACCTCCAGTGCCCCGGGGCAAGGTCAGCTGGCGGTCGGATGATCGGCCGGTCACGCGCAGGGGCGGTCGCGCGCGCACAGTGAGGGGAGGCCGAAGTGTGACCGCCACAATATTTTTAAAAAATCTATTTTTTTGTTCTTGGGGTTCAAAATCCAAATATTTCAAAAATCCGAGAAAGCAGTTTTAATTTTACACCTTTTATGTCTGAAACATTGTTCTGTATCTCTAAAGCTGTAGGCCTTAGGTACAGCTCTTCCTGCAAACCTTTTTTTGGGACGAAAATGGCAGAAATGACGTCACTCTGACGTCATTAGCGGCCAACCTATCATAGCCTTTGGAAAAAATTGGTCACAATGTGCAATAGCTGTTCACGGGAGGGTACTGAAAGTTTGGTGACGATAGGCGCAGCGGTTTTGGAGATATATTGAAAAAGCTAAAGGGGGGCAAAAAATGCCCCCCCCCCCCCCACCGCCTGGAAGGTTAAGGACCAAATATAATATGAACAAAAATGCTTGAAATGTTTCTATAACTTATATAATCAGAACGATGATCAGAATTTGTTTACTTTATACCCTGTCGTGGCTATTCTTTTTGGTTTCCATACATTTGTTAAAAGTTTACAGATAACAGATATTTGTAACCCAAGGTGGCTCCAGCAATAAAGGTTCGTGACAACGGTTTAAGAATTGCAATCACGCGCAAAAGGCCAGGTAATTATCCAGGTAAATTATTGATTTCACCTGGGCGTACCTGTCAAATTTTTTAGTCAACTTAGTTGCAATTTGATTTACTGCATAGGCAGCATTTATTTGTTAGCCTAAGTCACTTCCACTTGTGACTTGGTTCACTAAATTTCGCATTCTTTGTGTTTTCTTAAAAGTCACTTTCCGTTTCGTTCTTTTCTTGTAAGTAGGTACATGCTAGATAAGGCTTTTAAATTCAGTTTTCAGCAGACCTAAAATTTGATTATCAAGAAAATCAAACGCAGCAAGGTCTTATTCGGGATTGTACGGTATCAAGACAAAAATGTACCAGCAAATATGAAAGGGAGAGCAAAAACTCAGCAAATAAGAATTGCACCCTCAAACCTGTGACGAACGGTCAGTTTCTTTGACAAATATCATTGAGAAGGTATGAAGGTACTGGCCATTTACGCCCTACTGGCGACCGCGACCCTGTTTAGTTTCGCTCAGGCCGAATGCCCTGGAAGTCCGTGGAAGAAGTGGAATGGTTATTGTTACATGATGACTAAAAAGCAGGTGAATTGGCATGATGCAAGAGCCAGCTGCAAGTCTGTCTCGCCATATGCCGACGTGGTCAGCATTCACAGCAAGACTGAGAACGACTTCCTTCGGAGTCGAGTAGTGGGCAGCCGGCGAGTCTGGGTTGGTATGCGGTCACACGGACAAATTCGGCGGTGGGTGGACGGCACACCGGTCCATTTCACTAATTTCATGCCAGGTGTGTCGCCGGCCGATCGTACCAGCGATGTCGTCCAGCTGTTGGGGAAAAACGGCTATTGGAAGCCTGCCTCCTCCTACAAAGGCACCAGGCTGCACGCGGTCTGCAAGATGGCCTCGTGCAAGTGTCGTGAAGGCTGGACACAATGGGGTAACGCGTGCTATCTGGCAAAGAAGGAGATGTCCATCGACTGGCTGAGTGCGCGAGAGCAATGTCAACAGATGGAGCCCACTTCAGACCTGGCCACTATCACCTCTGCGGCCGAGAACAGGTTCGTCTTCCGACTGGCCGGGGGCAAGGACCGCATCTGGATCGGCCTCAATGATCGGGTCCGCGAGGGTGAGTTCCACTGGAACAATCGCTCCGACGGAGTGGAGTACACCAACTGGATCAGGCATTCTTCGCAACGGAATTCACATGCCAAAGACTGCGCCTACATGACCCGAGGCGGAAAATGGATAGTCTCTTCTTGCCGTCAACACGGCTTTTATTACGCTTGTAAGCAGTTGCTGTGCGGCCGTTCCTCGGAGGCAAGTCCGACGCGGCGCGGCTCCGACCGTGTCTGGAGGCCCGAGGACAGTGTGCGCTGTCCGCCCGGCTGGAGTCGCAGCTCGTCCTCGGCCGTGGACTCGGCTCTCCGGCCTTCTTGCTTCAGCCGGCCCACGGCGGCCGACACGTTCGCCGGGGTGCAGAGCCGGTGCCGCGCGCAGCACCCGGCCGCCGACGTCGCCGTCATCCGCTCGCTGGAGGACAACGACCGGGCCTTCCTGTCGGCCGGCGCGCTGCCCATGTTCATCGTCAGCGACGACCAGTTTGACATGCAGGAAGAGTCGGCTTCGGCCGGCGTCGGCTGCGTCTCGCTGGAGCCGACCGGTCTGTGGAGCTCCGGTCGGTGCGCTGCGGGCCGCCTGCCGGGCCTCTGCCAGATGCCCGCCTGCACCCCGTGTTGCCCCAACGGCTGGCACCTCTTTCAGGGACAGTGCTATTACGTCGAGGAAAGACCTTTGGATGCAGCCTCCGCAGAGGCTGAATGTCGAAGAGCTGGCAGCAAATTAGCTAGTATCCATAGCCAGGAAGAGAACGATTTCATCGAGAATCTGGCGTTTCAAAGAAAGTCTGGCATGCCGAAACGCACTCCTCATCTGTGGATAGGCGGCCGGCGGAAAACCCCAGGAGCCGACTGGGTGTGGTCTGACTGCAGCGACTGGAACTTCTGGCACTGGGACATCACTGACGGCCGAAAGCCGGCAAAAAACGCGCACCAGTGCCGGCGGAAGCATCAACGTTATTACAAAAACCGCAAATATCGCGGAGATCAGACCTCGATGTTTTCTGACGGCCGCTGGTACGTGAGGTGTCTTTCTTCCGCTCGGTCTGTGTGCAAGCTGGACCCGTGTCAGAAGCAGTTCGGTTGGCTCTCTGGTGGGCCCTGGTGCCCCGGCGAAGAGCCGCCACCGACCACCACCACGACAACCACAACAAAACCACGACAACAGCAGCAACCACCACCACAACCACAACCAGGAGCACGACGGCGGCAGCGGGGCCACCCTGCCCGCAGGACGGTCGGAAGTGGAAGATCGTCGGCGACGTTTGCCTGTCGACTGAGCTGGAAAAGCCGGCAACTTTCATGGATGCAGCACGCCACTGCGTATCGGGCGCGGCAAATCACTCTATGAAGACCTTACCGACGCTACGCACTCCGGCTGAACGGAAAATGCTGATGCAACTGGCTCAGGATGCCGGTGTCAATATTTGGATCGGCCTGGTTATCGGCTTTGATAGCTGGTACTGGCTAGACGACCAATCCCACACCTTTATACCAGACTTTGAGGAGCCGACACCTTCCCGGCTCAAGAATCTGGTCGGTGGGTGCGCTGCCATGAGGGGCACCACGGGTGCCTTGATGGAGTACAACCGTTCCGACCTGCTGCCGTATGTCTGTCAGGCGCGGAAGCGTAACTGAGACCGGTACCTTCACAGTGTAACTGCACCTTTAAACAAACAACGCCGCCGTCGAGAGTCACCCGATGTCAGCCACCCTTTCCAATTCTAGACATTTCAACTGCATTTGTGCCAGCCTTGGCGACGATGTAATCGAGCTGGGACTATCCAATTTTCGCAACGAACCAACCCATATATGCCGTATAAATTTCCCGCTCCTTCTCGTCGTTTAATCAGAGCCGATGTGATAGAGATGCATCAGTGAAGTCATCTGGACTATATTTTGAACTACCTAACAAGTCTTTTATATCGATCTAGCGTGCCTTTATCATGATTTATTCGCGAAAAACTGTTAGATACCATTCGTGACCGGAGATGACCGCAGGGGCATAAATAGGGGCCAAGGGTACCATTTTCATGTTCAGTGTGTCAAAGTTACTTATATTCCAGTGTTTGAGTGTTTATGACGGCTTTCGTCCAAAAGAAGCGCCTTTCAATTTTCTCCCATTGACTTATCTATAATTAGGACATCGTAAAATTAACCTTACCTTAGTTCACCGATTTAAAAATTCTGAGATAGGCATACACTTTGTACATACACATACACTTTGTACATAATATTGCTCTTATCAATTGCTGAAACTTTGAAAGCAATCGGTCACTCGGTGTAGCTATGGCAGACATTGAAACTTCTTATTAGGTGAGGTCACTCTAGGTGACCTAGTGACCTGACCTTGAAGGACTTTGGTCTGAAATTTTTGCATGTGTAGAACTGATGTATGATAAAATTGCCAAAAGTTGCTCCTGCGCCCATGCGTATATTTTCCCCAGTTACAAACATAGTGCATACGTAGGGTGAATGAAAAGTTTTGAGCCTAACATAGTTACAGGTGACGCAGATTAATGAAACTTTGGTCACATATTTTGCCACTATTGATATGAATGGACACCAAATTGTGAAGTCCTAGCACTTTTTTCCTCACCTTTTTAGCGCCTTGAATCATGCTATTTTGGGTAAGTGCTCGCGGTGTAAATGACGTCATTATTTTTTTTGAAGCGTCATCCAGTCAGTTTTTTCTTTAGGCTTAGAAAGAAATAGACACCCTACGGATGCCAATGCTGGTTAAAAGATTAAATTAGGGATACATTGGAAGGCTCAGTAATTGATTGTTTACATTGCAACCAGTGAAAAATACCCTGATTTATTGTCTTGGTGAAACACGACCAATTTTGTCAGCATTGCCCTTCTGATCTTCCTGATTTTCTAACAAAGATGTATCAGTGGATCATCCTATAGTAATGCCCAATTACAGTAAGACCCTTTTAAAAAAAGTGCACTTGCAAGACCTCTCATTTATTTTCCGAGTTACGGAATACTTTCCTCCTTGTTGTGACTCTGACATTTAATTTTTCAGATTAGAGTAGAGACGTTCTTCTGGCTCCACTGTTCTTCCCATGCTGGATTGAAGTGAAACACCCACAGTTTATCATCGGTAGCGAAAAGTGACTTTGAATTCTCAGAATCTGCTTGAACTAGCGCCAAATGTCATTACCGGGAAGCGGGGGTTACACCGCCACTGTGGGAAACACCGCCACCCCATCTGGCGGCGAAAGTATGAAATGTGAAGTGTAAAAATCCTTTATTTCCTATTAACCGCACGAAGGTAAGCGTCTTCTGATTTGTGTTCCGGTGTTTCAGTGTAATCGAAGCTCAATGTGGGCATTTAAAGAAAAATGCACATTCTCTTATAAAAATTCGATGAGTTGGGAGCACTTTTGAATGTCTTTAAGTAGAGACTCATTTTGATTTACTTGATTACATCGAAAAATAACTGATCGGCTTTGTCCAGTAAGATAGGTTTGCTTGAACCGTGTAGTACATTCTTGCCGCTGGCGATTTTTGCTTGTGATCACTTATTTGGGAACACCGCCACCCCGTGGCGGTGTTACCCCAAATGAGGTTGCGGTGTTTCCTGTTTGTAGCGTGATAAGTGATGAAACTCCAAAGACACGCTTTATTTATGTTCGTAGATGTTCCTAAGTCGGGAAAAAGTAGCTTATTTGATTTTTTACTTTATATTTTTCATGCATCCCGACCAAGCACTTGCCGGCTGTATAAAACTGGCAAACAGCTGATGAACCTATACCTATTTAGGTGTCCATTACCGATTATTTGCGAAAATTACCACTTACGGACAGGAAACTCATCGCACGCGATCTTTGAACAATTAAAAGCTTTCGTATAGGAATGGGTTGGGTTAACATCAACACCGGTGTCGGGGTTTTGTAGTTTTTGTAGGCAGCAAATATGCAAGGTATTTTTAAAAGTCGTGATACATGAAAACCTTTTAAGAGCATGCAAAATAAGTACCTAAAACACGTGAGAAAATGTTTAAATATTGTAACCAAGACAATAACTACCAAGAGACTTCACACATATTCTCTCATTATGGCGAAAAGCTTAGGGGGGCGGTGTTACCCCCGCTTCCCCTACACATCTCTCGTCGTGCTCTGCAGCAAAAAGCCGAGAGGCCCAATGAGCGGAGACCTTTCTCATGTCATGCCCATTGGTAAGAATGTCGCCAGCTTGCTCATGGGAGATGTCCATTCTTACCGCTATCTGATGATCTCACATTCTTGGATCCAGCATCCACACCCCTAGAGCTGGGTCAATGTTTTCGGATTTCGTCACATTCTACGGCGTTTTTGAGATTTGTTCATTTTGGACGCTGTTCCTGCCCTGCTTGAAATTAGCAGCTCAAACCTTAACAGTGCCATATGATGGGTCACAACCAATAAGTTTAATTTCAGGTCCTTATTAATTTCAGATGAAGGCATCGCTTTGAAATCGCAATACTTTATAAAAGTTCGGTTCTCGATTTTCTCCCTTTTCACCGAACGCGTAATCTTCTTCACTTTAACACTATTAGTGGCAGGCTCCTGGCTACCCCATAGTGGCAGGGGGGGGGGGGGGGCTGTTTATGACCCCCCCTTGATATCTCGAGATCTAACCGGCCGATTTTCAAAATTCAAACGGCATTCGATTTGGCTCAACGAGATCTACATTTCTAAAAAAAAAAATTAAAAAATGTCAATAGGGGGGTAGAGGGGGGTAAAAACGGGCAAATTGCAGATACGAGTACATTTTAGACTGTTTATCACGGCCAGGTTTCTGAACCAATCTTAACGCAACTTTTGCCGATCGATAGAGAATGAACCAGGAATTCACATGGATCCTAAAAATATGCATTTTCAAAAATCATAGGCGGATACAGATCATTGAGATTGGGGGTACACAAAAAGTATAGTAAATAAGGTTTTTGTTGGTACTGTTTCTAAAAAGGGTGGCAATGGTCTTGTTATGTTACAATTTTCTTATGAGAGAACGACTAAAATTGTATTGGTCATGCATGGGCGGTGTCAGGGCACCTATGTTGGGAGGTAAAAAATAACCCCCCTTTTTGGACTCCTGGATCCGCCTATTATAGCAAAAACGTGTCAAAAGAGGATGCACAATAACTTTGTATATGTTATCACATGATACCTTTCATTCACTGTTCGTAAAACTGGTGCAGCATCGTGATCTTCGCCCAAATGACTCGCTTCACGAATAGGACCCCCAATTCCCAGTGCTCTGGAGCCGCCCCTGGTAACGTTATGAACTTGAAATTTTCAGGGAATGTGCCCAATTTAGTTTTAGGAAAAGTCAGAAAATTTCAGCATCGTAGCTTCAGCGGTTTCGGAGATATTCCCGAAAAACCTGAGGGGTGGATAAAAACAACCCCCCCCCCTGCCACTAATAGGGTTAACGGGCTCTAAAAACGAAACGAGAAGGACTAGGACTTCAAAACTTGGTGTACACACCTAAAAATAGTGGCAAAATGTGTGGCCAAATTTTCATTAGCCTGCGTCACCTGTAACTGTGTTAGGCTCAAAACTTTTCATTCACCCCACGTATAAGGAATGTATTTCAATTTATTGCTGTCAGAAATGAGGAGAAAACATCGCATTGCAAAGGAGGATAATCATGGTATCCAAACTGCACTTGATCTTCACACCCAGTGACAATATTCCAAAGGCTTCGAAGGCTTAATTCAAAACATAGGCAAGTGAATTCAACGATGCAACTTTATAATGTCGTTTCTGATCGGGCTGGAAAATTATACTACGTATGTCGGTACGCTGCGATGGCTGGATCAAACTGCTCAAATTCGGTTGAATTATGGGGGAAATGAGAAGTTAGCAACAACATCGGGCGACTTGAGCGGCGTTGTTTGTGGAGGTGCAGTAACACTGCGAATGTGCTGGTCTCAGTGGCGCTCGTGAGCTTGGCAAAGATACGGCAGCTTGGAGAGGCAGTGACGCGCTATCAGTCCTCCCGTACTGCCGTCCATGGCACCGCACCACACGTTATGAGAGATAAAAGGTGGCGGCTTCTCCCAGTTTGGCGTGATGGCATGGGCAAAGTCGTCGTCCCAGAACCAGTCATGGTTCTCACCATCCCCGAAGCGCGACAGCCCCAGCCAGGTATCGGCGCCGGCGGCCAGCCGCAGCAGTCTCTCCCGTTCGGCTGGCGTGCGCAGCGTCGGCAGCGTCAGCTCAAAGTGATCTGCCTCGTCCGAGCGACAATCGAGAAACGCGTCGCTGTGCCTGGCCGGTCTGGCGAGCATGGTCGTCAGGCAAATGTGGCCCTCGACCGTCCACTGACGCCCGTCCTGCGGACAGGCCGGTTCCACCGCGGGTCTGCTCGTGGATGTGGTTGTTGGTGTGGTAGTGGTGGTGGTTGTGGTGGTGCTTGTGGTTGGGATAGTCGGTGGTGGCTCTTCACCGGGGCACCAGGGCCCACCAGCAAGCCAACCGAACTGCTTTCGACACGGGTCCAGCTTGCACACAGACCAAGCTTTAGGATGGCACTTAACGTACCAGCGGCCGTCAGAAAACATCGCAGCATAATGATGGTACTCTGGATGGTACCGCCGCCGACATACATTTTTGTCCTTAGCGGGTTTTGGGCCATCAGTGACATCCCAGTGCCAGAAGTTCCAGTCGCTGCAGTCGGACCACACCCAGTCGGCTCCGCGAGTCTCCCGTCTGGCACCTATCCACATCCAGGCATTGCGTTTCGGTTCGTTACGCCTTCTCGCATACGCCAGATGCTCGATGAAATCGTTCTCTTCCTGGCTATGGATACTAGCTAACTTGCTGCCAGCTCTTTGACATGCGGCTTCTGCGGAGGCTGCATCCAAATTCCTTTCCTCGACGTAATAGCACTGTCCCTGAAAGAGGTGCCAGCCGTTGGGACAGCGCGGGATGCAGGCGGGCATCTGGCAGAGGCCCGGCAGGCGGCCGGCGGCGCACCGACCGGAGCTCCAGAGACCGGTCGGCTCCAGCGAGACGCAGCCGACGCCGGCCGAGGACGACTCTTCCTGCATGTCAAACTGGTCGTCGCTGGCGATGAACATGGGCAGCGCGCCGGCCGACAGGAAGGCCCGGTCGTTGTCCTCCAGCGAGCGGATGACGGCGACGTCGGCGTCCGGGTGCTGCGCGCGGCACCGGCTCTGCACCCCGGCGAACGTATCGACCGCCGTGGGCCGGCTGAAGCAAGACGGCCGGAGAGCCGAGTCCACGGCCGAAGACGAGCTGCGACTCCAGCCGGGCGGACAGCGCACACTGTCCTCGGGCCTCCAGACACGGTCGGAGCCGCGTCGCGTCGGACTTGGCTCCGAGGAACGGCCGCACAGCAACTGCTTACAAACGTAATAAAAGCCGAGTTGACGGCAAGAAGAGGCGATCCATTTTCCGCCTCGGGTCATGTAGGCGCAGTCTTTGGCATGTGAATTACGTTGCGAAGAATGTCTGAACCAGTTGGTGTACTCCACTCCGTCGGAGCGATTGTTCCAATGGAACTTACCCTCGCAGACCCGATCGTTGAGGCCGATCCAGATGCGGTCCTTGCCCCCGGCCAGTCGGAAGACGATCCTGTTCTCGGCCGCAGAGGTGATAGTGGCTAGGTCTGAGGTGGGCTCCATCTGCTGACATTGCTCTCGCGCACTCAGCCAGTCGATGAACATCTCCTTCTTTGCCAGATAGCACGCGTCGCCCCATCGTGTCCAGCCCTCACGACACTTGCACGAGGCCATCTTGCACACCGCGTGCAGCCTGGTGCCTTTGTATGAGGAGGACGGTTTCCAGTAGCCGTTGTTCCCCAGCAGCTGTACGACATCGCTGGTACGATCGGCCGGCGACACACCGGGCAAGAAATTAGTGAAATGGACCGGTGTGCCGTCCACCCACCGCTGACTTTGTCCGTGTGACCGCATACCAACCCAGACTCGCCGGCTGCCCACTACTCGACTCCGAAGGAAGTCGTTCTCAGCCTTGCTGTGAATACTGACCACGTCGGCATATGGCGAGACAGACTTGCAGCGGGCCCTTGCGTCATGCCAATTCAACTGATTTTGAGTCATCATGTAACAGTGACCGTTCCACTCCTTCCACGGACTTCCAGGGCATTCGGCCTGAGCGAAACTCAACAGAGCCGCCAGCAGAGCATGTGTAGCAAATACCTTCATAGCTTTTCAGTGATGCTTGTCAAAGAAACAATGAAGTGAAAAACCTTATCTCATACTTTTATAACATAAAGTGGCTTTTAATAAAGACTGGTCTTTGAAGATCGAAACATAACACGAGGAATGCGAAATTTACTGGTGCTGGCGACTCAAGCTATCAAAGACGTGTCGCGGATGGAGCAGCTCAATTAAAAACCAGATCACTACAAAATTTCCATTTTACAGGTGCTCAAGATCTATGATTTAAAGGGGTTTTATAGGTACTGAGGTTTCCTTGTAAAGCATTTAAGTACCGATTTCACGAAACTTTACTGCAAGCGGCACCTTCGATAAAGGATAGGTACAATTTTGCTAGCGAAGTTGAGGGGAGAAGATTGCCTCCCGCACCCAGTAAGGGAGAGGAGAAACGGCTCTCCTGCCCTACATCCTATTTCCTGCGCATAAATTCTTGAGCAAAGGCTGGGGGGGGGGGGGGGGGGCGGTACCAGCCTTTGTATATCCCTTGCGGCATCAATTGGCAAATCCTGATCAAAGAAAAATGTGATGGCCCCAAAGGACAGCCGAAAAAGACATAAGAAAGACGTCATCTTTGCACCATCATGATGGCAAAAAATGACTTTCGGGAAAACTTTGGCAGTCAGGCACAGTTTCAAAAATAAAGTCATTTTTGGCAAATCAGTATGCTCACAAGGAACCAGGATAAGAAAATACTACCTCAGATTTTCGATGTTCATTTCTTAACCCTCGCGGACCCGCCCTCCCCCCCCCCCCCCTGGCGAATATTGGTGATAGCTCCCGAACACTAAGGAATAGGAAAGCGAAACTTCAAGTACTTTTTCCCATCAATTTGACATCTTTTAAAGTGAAAAATGGACCTAGCCCCCTTGATGATGTCACAGGGTCGATTTTTATAGATAACTGCACGGCAATTTTCGGCGTCACGGACGTAAAATTCAAGTTGCTGCCAAAAAAGTTTTTGAGATAAAAACAAATTACACGATTGTATAGCGTTTGACCTAAAGAGAAATAGAAAAATAGTTTTGATGACCCGAGGTCAGAGGTTAGGTCCACGACTCCGAGCCTGAGTTTTAGTTTTTCGCAAATAACTTTAAAAAATGGTCCTAGGTCTACGGCAGTCCATTTGACCTCAGATCAAGGTCATGATCTGACCGGGAAGTGTCATGTTGGATATCAGTCGATCCGTATCGACGAGCTGAACGCATCTGTGGTGTTTTCATCGTCCTAGCATGCCTCCATCAAAAGTTATTTGCGAAAAACTGTTAGATACCATTCGTGACCTAAGATGACCTCAGTGGCATAGGGTAAGTGGCTCCTATGACGCACACTTCCTAAAAGCGCACACCAAGAACTTTTTTTAATGTAGTTCCTTCAGCAGAAGCCAGGAACGAAAAAATCAGCTGTCAATCACTTCCAGCGACATTTGTGCTGCGTGTGGACGGCGGTGGGGTGTTGTCGGCTCAAAAGGTGAGTAGTTATGGCGGATATTGTGATTGAGGTGCAATGTTTCTTCAGCAAAAAAGTGCCTGAAGCAATAATGCATGTTTTAAGACGCATGCACTTCTCGCGTAAACCTGAATAGGCCGGAAAGATCGATGGGCACTGACCGGATGGCAATGCAACGGGGCTCAGTTTAGGCATGCATGCTTTACCCAGAATGCGTCAGTGCTGACGGGAGGGGGCTGAATGTCAGGTGTGCGTGTTTAGGGCAACTGGTTCTGCAATGACGCACACTTTCAGTGCCGCAAATGCGCACAGTACATCTGATGATTATCTAGCCTTCTTTCTTACAAGGAGCAGCTTATATCACGATGAATTGACATGTTAGGCATTGGCACAGTGTAGAATGCGGCATTGAGCTCCACTCCCGGCGGTGGAGCTGGCAAAACGGCGGTGGAGCTGGACGCCGGGCCCGGGCGCTCGGCAGGTGACGCCGGACCCGGGCGCTCGGTTGGTGACGCCGGGCCCGGGAGCTCGGCAGGTGACGCCGGGCCCGGGCGCTCGGCTGGTGACGCCGGGCCCGGGAGCTCGGCAGGTGACGCCAGGCCCGGGCGCTCGGCATGTGAAGCCGGGCCCGGGCGCTCGACTGGTGACGCCGGGCCCGGGAGCTCGGCAGGTGACGCCGGGCCCGGGCGCTCGGCTGGTGACGCCGGACCCGGGCGCTCGGCTGGTGACGCCGGGCCCGGGAGCTCGGCAGGTGACGCCGGGCCCGGGCGCTCGGCATGTGAAGCCGGGCCCGGGCGTTCGACTGGTGACGCCGGGCCCGGGAGCTCGGCTGGTGACGCCGGACCCGGGCACTCGGCTGGTGACGCCGGACCCGGGCGCTCGGCTGGTGACGCCGGGCCCGGGAGCTCGGCAGGTGACGCCGGGCCCGGGAGCTCGGCAGGTGACGCCGGGCCCGGGCGCTCGACTGGTGACGCCGGACCCGGGCGCTCGGCTGGTGACGCCGGGCCCGGGAGCTCGGCAGGTGACGCCGGGCTCGGGCGCTCGGCAAGTGACGCCAGGCCCGGGCGCTCGGCTGGTGACGCCGGGCCCGGGAGCTCGGCAGGTGACGCCGGGCCCGGGCGCTCGGCAAGTGACGCCAGGCCCGGGCGCTCGGCTGGTGACGCCGGGCCCGGGAGCTCGGCCGATGGAACATCTCGTGCTGACTCCGTATCCATGCGGGGCGACGAAGAACTAGATAGAAGTCTGCATGACGTGATGCCAACCCCTCGCGTGCAGAGCAAAGGTAAGCGAAGGGCAGTTAATAGAGATGCTGTGCTGGTAAAGAGGGCATTGTTTGAGTCCGACGGTAACAAGGAAAAAACAAAGAAAACAGCCAAACATGGACACGTGAAAATAAAACAGGTACCTAAAGCCCAATGAAGACCAGTCATCAGGAAGTGAGACGACATGCATATACTGCTGCATGAAGTTCTCACGATCGTGTGAAGAGTGGATACAATGTCAAGTGTGCACTGGCTGGGCATGCGTGCCATGCACTGACGCTGAAACAAAACAGACAAGTTTCACTTGTGACCTCTGCCGACAGTAGATACTGAGTCAATGAAAAGGTTTCGAGTTCATGATGTGTTCATGATGCGTACATGTTCATGGTGTGTTTCATGATGTGTCGAGTTCAAAGTTCATGATGTGCTCATGGTGTTCAACTTTAAAATAAAGTGATTTGATCAATACCTCGACATGTTTATTAAACCTAAAACCTGTTGGAATTGTTCTTGTGCGCATTTGAGGCAGCTGAATGTGCGTCATAAGAGCACCGGTGCTCTATTAGCGCACGTCGGACGTTGGTGGATGTTTTGCCTTATATGTCATAAATGATGAAGGAACGCTGGAACGTAAAAGTCAAATCAAGAAAGCAAATGCTTATGAAAACTGCTTGTGACCATTTTGTCAGCAAAACAGGTTTCAGTAAGTCTCAAAAGCAGTTTTCCTACTAGGTGTGCGTGATAGGAGCCACTTACCCTAAGCAGGGGTCACGGGGGCCATTTTGATGTTCACAGGGGTGTCGATTTTTCAAAATGGTTGGGGGTGCTCAATCCCTTCACCGGGTGAAAGATTGCAGCTTTGCCATGGGGCACAACCGTACAAGGCAGGGTTGGTTATCCCCATGAGGTACACACAGAAAAATATTGACACCGTTAGCGGTGTAATTGCACAGTACATATCTGAGCACTTGAGGAAAGTTAATTTAGTCCCTTCCCCGCTTAAATTACTCGCGCTTCCAAATGAACACCAGGAAGAAGGTAATAGAACACTGTTAGGAGGGTTGGGTGTTTTGCTACATGTAGTAAAACACCCAACCCTCCTAACAGTGTTCTATTACTTTCTTCCTGGTGTTCATTTGGAAGCGCGAGTAATTTAAGCGGGGAAGGGACTAAATTAACTTTCCTCAAGTGCTCAGATATGTACTGTGCAATTACACCGCTAACGGTGTCAATATTTTTCTGTGTGTACTGATAATGCCGGCCATTTCCACTAACATTTCCCAAGGGCAGAACGTTCTCTTTGAAAATCATTTTGCTCATCCTAGTACCTACTTGGCTATCTTATTACATAACCATCTTTCCGAAAGTCATACCTACCTTTATTTGCCGGCAGCATGGCAGCAGCCCCGACGCCTCTGTAATAAGGTGACAGAAACCAATGACGGCGATTAGCACCGGTGCAGCAGCCGCTGCGGTCCGCAGGGGCGGACATTGCGCGGAGGCAACGGTAGCTACGAGGCTCTGGCGGTAATCAGACGATCCCAATAATGATCGCTGAAAAATGACAAGTGGTCGCCTTTGGATATTTACGGGTTCACGATTTTCCTCAGTGGCGTAGCCAGGTGGGCCCGTGAGGCACGTACCCCCCCCCCCCCCCATCAGCTTCGGGCTTCAGCCGGGTCCCCTCAGTTTATTCGGGCCTTAGGGCCCTGAGGCGCCAATTGGCCGCTAAGGGTCAATGTTGGCCATATTCGGACTGAAAAGGGATCCACGGGCTCGTAAAAACACCTCATGGGCCCACAAGTACAACACTAAGATCTCCATAAGGGCCCCAAGCCAGCCTCTGAGGGCCCTTACCGGCTTGGAGGGCGCCATGTTGGACTCTGGGGTCCTACTCCTAACCGGCCTATTTAGGGGGCCAGCTCCAGGAGCTCCACACCCGCCTATTGGCCCCACACCCATTTCTCTGAGGGCCCCTATGACAGCGACTGTGAGGGCCCTCACCGATGCCCCTGAGCGCCATGCACCGGTGTCTAGCTGAGGGCCCCACACCCCTAACTTTGAGGCCCTACACCAATGCCTTTAAAACCCCTACAGGCCTACACTGAAAACAAAATGACACAAAAAACGACTAAAAACGCACAGGCAGAGCGTGTTAACTAGGCTTTCTTGTGTACCCTGCATCATGCATTTTTTGACCCGTCGCAGACGTGTTAATTTACAAATGTGTTAACCCAGTCGTGTTGTGTCTTAAAACACAATATCATTGTGTCTTCAACACATAAGGCTTGTGTGAATACATTTGCAGAATAAAAGGTAAATGTGTTACCAAATTTAACACAAATCGCAAGTGAAAGGAGGAAACACGTGGTGATTATGTAGTTTGTTGCCGGGGCGCAGTTGAACGGACTTTGGCTTTGGCTGGACAGGCTGACTGCCAAAGCCGGGCCCCGAGTGGAATCGGGCGCTCGGGTGCGGTCAAGGCTGAGCACCCGGCCGGCCGACCCATACGGTCAGGGCGCGGTCAGGGCTGAGCACGCGGCCGGCCGACCCATACTGATACGAGGCCGCCGACCCATACACGAGCTGGAGTTGCCCCCGGTCGGCCACTTCAGAGCCGAAGGGTGAACGCGCCACGCGGACGGCTCAAGCATAGCACCAAGTGACAATGCCCCAAATTGGTGGACTACTGTACAATACAGTTGTCCAGACAGCCGGGATAAATTTACGGCCACCGATTTTTCAAATATATCCTATATAGACCGAGGAGTTTCTTCCTCCAATCAGACGTTAATTAGCTATGCTTCAGCTTGCACTTGATGTAATCAGCGCATATTGCTCTAGACAATTTCTCAAGTATCGAATCCCTCGGCTGTATTGTGCATTTTGACCTTTCTCAAAACACTTTGGCAAATTTTCCCAAAAACCCAGCATAGAAATCGGTGCTCGAAAACCGCCCTCTTTTATCCCCATCTGAAGTTAAGGTTCAGAGGTCGCTCACTGGTGGATGGCACGGTGTATTTGTGTAAGGGTACACGTCTACCATGTCCGACAACACATGATTTCGATACACTGATGTATTACATTCGTCCAGCGTGCTTGGCACGAGACAATTGTGTCATTATTCTGTTTTATGTGTTATCAAACGTGTCGAAGGTCCCGCCAAGCGTGAAAATACTCAGCCTTATTGTGTTTTGGGTGCGATTAACACATGACTGATGTGTTACCAGTGCAGAACATGCCCTCACTGTGTCGATTTGTTTTCAGTGTACATGGGCGGTTCTGAGGGCCCTTGTCAGCTACCAGCGACCCTGACGGTCCCACACAGGTGACTTGGAGGGTCCCAGCGGCGTCTGAGAGCACCATGCCGGTCTCTGAGAACCCCACAAGGCTCCTGAAGGCACCGGTGACCTCTTGATATCTTCTTTTCGGCCTATGAAGGGTTCGTTCCGTAACAGCAGTTTTGAGGGCCACACGGGCGCCTGTGATGGCCCTAAACCAGTGTCTCTGAGAGCCCCCACAACGGCGCCTGTGAGGGACATCACCGGCAACTGTTAAGCCCCTACACCGGGCCTCCGGGCTCCGAGGACCATACGTTGCCATATCTGAGGTAGGTCCCCGCACTTAAGTGCCTCCTAAGGCTCTATATCGGCGGCTCTGAGGGCCCAACACCGTCGCTTCTGAAGGCCCCACAAGTGCACGTATGACAACCACCCACCGTGCCGGTGACATTTGAAGGCCCCACACCAGCGACTCTGAGGGCCCCGTTTAAGGGTCAGACACCCGTGTACGACTGACCCACACCAGTGTCTTTGCAACTACGTCTTTTTCACCCTTCTTCTTCAGACTAACTTTTCTTTTACGCACATGGTACCTTCACTAGGTCTTTGAGGTCACTTTTGGTGAGTTTCGAGCAGCAGCTATCGATTCCGCTGTCCGTAAGCCTAATCATGCAGAACTCCAGAATTTGACCTTTGACCTGACCTTGACCTCAAAGTTGACCTCAATCTTAAAATCTTAAGAGTGCTTTGGGAAGGTCTCGTAGGACGTAGAGACCTTTCGAAGGCCGCCTCGCGGGGCTCGATGCGACCATTGGTTCTCGAGATAACAGGGGGAGGGGGGTCGGATCCGACCCCCCCCCAGGCTGTCGTGGGTACAGAAATAGCCCAGGCGATGCCGGGTTAAAATTGGGTATCATCGGCTTCCTCTCGTCACGGGCAACACGCTCGTTTTTTCCGTGAAGCTCTAGCTCGATCAGGGGCCAAACGGCAAAGTTCCGGTTCAGTGTGTCATGTTCACCTGCGTCCCGATGTTTGAGGGCGTTTTCGGCCATAAGAAGAGCATTTCAACTTTGTCCCATTGATTTGGAGAGGAAAAAAATTGACCTGACCTTAGGTCACTAATTTCAAAATCCCGAGATATACAAATTGTTGATACTGATTCTCTCATGCAATAGCCTGAGTTTCAAACTCCTGGGATGTACCTAAACTGTAGGAATGACTGAATCACAGTTGTTTTTTTTTTTTTTAGAGGCATGGTCACTGGTCAGTGGTCACATAGCTTGACCTGGTAGTGGTGACCTGATCTCATGGCACCTCGGGTCAAAAATGTTGCACAAGGAGCGAAACTGATTATTCATAAGCTAGGTTTTCTTTACATTCGCAAAGAAAAAAAAACTGGCAGGTGTGGCCAAAAAACACCCCCCCCCCCCCCTACACACACACACTTGTGTTTTCTTCCTTATTTTTGACGCTCTTTCGAATACCGCTTACCGCGTGTCGCTACGTGGCCCAGGAGCCGAGTTAGACGGGAATGTGTGTGCAGACACCCCCTTGCGGCCCGACGCGGGATATTATCACGATTTCCGGCCAACCCCGAGGCAAAGCCGCTTCACGTTCATACGATGTGCGCGATACCTGGCGGTAAGCGAGCGTCACTATCATTAGGTTATAGATGTCGCTACCAGTCGAGGAGAACGCATCGCCGAAGCAGGCAGGGCAGAAGTACGCAGGCGTCGGGGAGGCAAGAGAAAAGTGCGCATCGTTAGAAAACAACCTGAGATTACCTAACCTAATCCCAACCTTACATAGCCTATACCTTTGTCCATGCGTACATTACACTGTACTAACATTTCTGAATTGATGCATACCTACTTCTGTCCAACTTGCAACTGCTGTCGTGCATTTGCCAAATGGATCTTGGTAATCCATATGTACCGTCTTTTGTCCGCAACCCAGCTCGACCACCCTCCTGTGCAGATGCTAGAGACCACCGTAAACTATACGTATTGGTCATTTTCAACACTCGCTTAGTCCTAGTGAACGTAACAAATTGGTCTCAAAATGTTCTGCCAATGTAAGCTTAGAGAAAAATGTATGCGCAACATCCATTGAACCTTGGACGCAATGAAAGAACGCCGTTTGCATACAAAATATATTAACGGTGTCTTCTCAGTTAACATCATGCACTAAATAACACTCAGAGGGCGGCAACACTTTCTACAAGCAATGTGAAAGCAATACGAAATCCCCGCTCAAGCAGGGTACCCACGGACTCTACATATGGCAACTTTGACGCGCTAGACTCGTATCCTGGCAGTGAGTGCATAACTGGCCAACTGCCCTCTGCTAGCAGCGAGCAAAACGTTTATAAAAATGCACACGGAACAGGTACCCATAAGGAAGGTTTCGATCTCTTGGATCGTTTCGATCACCTTTTGGTTAACGTACAAAAGGTTGGCAAATGCACCATGTATCACAGCTAGGTGAAGTCGCTACCTGATGAATCTTCGGTGCTCCAAAAGCTCATCTGTGAGGATAACCGCTGGAATTTACTACTCTGGTCTCGCTTCGCACTGGCAGTGTGGGCCATTTCTGTGGAACTGTCATCACTGTCATCCACCGCGACCACTTCTACTTCATGAGCACCTTCTTCCTTCTTCCTTGGTCTCCCTCTTGTTCGCTTCTCTTTCTGAGAAGCCTCTTCTTGTGCACCTTCTGCCAGGTTCTCGTTCTTTCTCGGTCTGCCTCTCGGCCGCTTCTCTTTCTGAGGTTCTTCGTTTTGCTCTCCGTCTCCGGCGCTCTGTCTCGCTCTCTTTGTACTCTCTCCCGCTCTCCCTCCCCTCCCTCGACGCCCCCTGACCCCGCGAGAGCCACCCCGTCCCCTCCCCTCCGCACTCTCTCCCGCTCCCTCCGCACTCTCTCTCCGAGTCTGACTTCCGCTGACTCCCAGCTCTGCTTGCTCAGAGGTCGCGGTCTCTTCTCTACTCGGTCCTCCCGCGCTCTTTCTCGGTCTCCCTCTCTTTGCTCTCCCCACTCCCGCACCACCCTCTGCCACACTCTCTCCTTCTGGAATCTTCCTCGGCCGTCCGCGCTTCCTCTTCACAACTTCTTCCGGCTTCCCACTTCCACAGCCTTCAACATCACCTTCCACATAATCGACATCATCAGCTCCAGCATCACAAGCCTTCCTGCCGCTAGCCTTCCCTCTTGCTCGCCGCTTCCTCGGCGACCGCACCTCCTCTCCCTTCCCTCTGGCGTTCTCAGTCTTCCTCTTTCCCGCTCCTCGTCTGCCGAGGGCCTTCACGTAGCAGACCTCCGCCTCGGCGCCGTGATCCAGCAGGTACTGTATCCACAGTATCTGCTTGGTGGAGAGCCGGTCGTTGGGCCCCTTGACCTCGACGATCCGCGCAGTCAGGGTGGAGGGGTTCCACAGGACCAGGTCGGGAAAACCGCTTCTGGTGAACCTGAGGAGCGGGAGAGAGGGTGGGATTAGAGTTAAGTACAACACCAGCCGAATGGAGGAGGGGGGGGGGGGGGGCAGACATATACATAACATACAACTTCACTGGTATACACATTGACTGCACAAAAATCATATCAACATTTGTTAATCTTGATCACCTTAAGCGGGTGTGCGATAAAGGATATGACTGACTCTGAGTCATGATTCATTCTTAGAACGTAACAATACAAATCAAAGAAGAGTTAAGAGTTATCTAGATGAACATTTCTAAGGCACGCACGTAATCTTTAGGCCACACGAATAATACGAAAAAATATACAAAAATAAGACTGAACAACAGAATTTAGTTCTACGACCCTCCACGGCCCGAACAGGAGGCCATCACACCCAATACTGCCTCTCCTCGAATTCAATCTGTACACCTCAAACCCCACTTCCTTGCCATTGTGCTCTCCTCGATTCCCGAATTAAATTCTCCACTGATGAAGCATGTATTTATCGACTAGAATTCCCTCAAATCTTTCCTTAGCCCGAGTCACATATCCTCCAGTCTCTCCCCCCCCCCCCAATAATTTCACCGCAACCACCCACCTAAAACGAACCAATCTCCTACCTCTACCCACCAGTCCTGTCTCCCACTTTTCCCTCCCCCGTCCACCCATCTCCCAGTTACATTCCTCTGTTTGATTCCCACCCCTCTCCCCTTTCTACCCACCCTCTCTACTCTACCCACCCCTCTCTCCTCTACCCACCTGTACTCTGTAGCCAGCCGGCGGCAGATGGCGGTTACCAGCCGTACTCCCAGACACCTCAGCAGGCTCAGAGCGTGCTCACAGTCTCTGAACACATCCCAGGAGGCCAGTGATAGACACCCGTGGTGCGCCTCCCACACCTCCGCCACGCGCTGACAGGCATCCTCCTCTGAACCGGCCTCCAGTTCAGCCAGACGTGCCTCCACTGCCTCACGACGACGCTCCAAGAAAGCTGGCGAGTTGAGATCGAGTGGGAGGGTCTGGTAGGCACTCCGGAAGCTGTCTGGGACCTCGGCGGAGTACAGAAGATCCCAGAAGAGGAGGGCGAAGAGGGTGACGGTTGGCGCTCCCTCGCGGTGGACTCCTTCAGAGTAGCGCGATGAGTAATGCGAGAGAGCCAGTTCCTCCACTGAGCAGACTGTGACGTCACCGCTGGTGACGTAACCAGTGACGTCAGCACCGCCGGAGGGCTGTTCAGGCCGGAGAAAGACCATCTTGAGGCCTGGTACGTCACGCGGTAAGCAGCGAGCCTCGATCTCCACACTGGGGAGGTGATCGGGCTGGAGTGGGGAGGGGGTTAGCGTCGGCTCCAGGCGGGCTAGCCGCTGCTCTAGCGCCAGACGTCGCCCACCGCGCACCTCTGGGTCTTCCAGTGCGCTCCTGACAGCCTGGAGAGCTTCATCAGGGCGGCGGAGGTGTTGGTGTAGGGTGAGAGCCAGACGGTCCGACCAGAAACCGCGGTAGTCTGGAAGATAGGTGTGTTGATCGAGCAGAGAACGTAGCAGGGTCACAGCCGCGTCATGCTCCCGTCGTCTCTGAAGAACCTCCACGCTCTTCGACATGACGTAGGTGATGATGGAGCCGGCGGTGAAGCGACGAAGGAACGGAGGAAGAGAGGCGTCATGCTTCGCCAGCTCCGGAGCTTCTTTCAGCGAGGCCAGCATGGTCTCTGCCGCTTGGTAAGTCTCGTAGGCCGCGTCCCACTGTTTGGTTTCAATTGCATTCCGCAGTTGACGCTCTAGCTGACTCGCTGTCTCGTATCTTAGCAGATCATCCCGGGTGGCGAAGATGGCAGTCTGTCTACTGACGGTGACTGGAGGATACACCATCCTCCCCAAGTTCACCATCAGGAGTGTCAACAACTGCTGCGACGTATCCTCTTCGTCCTCATACAGAGGAAGGTGGAACAGACTGAGGACTCTCAGCAGGACTCTCCGAGGAGCTGAGGCCACGCGCACACACCGTCCCAGGAGCGTCCGCGCTCGTCGAGCTGCCACCTCTGCCGGAGATGTCGCACCGAACATCACCGCTCCGCGCTTCTTGTCAAGCTCTGCCAGTCGCGCCAGGAGGTCTGGACGAGGCCCGGTGGCAGTCAGGTGCAGCTGCTGGCAGAGCTGCCGCAGCTCGGGCGCTGGGAGAAGCTCCGCCAGCTGCACGACACCTCCAGTCAGTTGACGTTCGGTTTCTACCAGTCCTTCAGCCGCCAGGGCGTCCAGCGCCGCGTTCACCGCCGACTCATCACCAATCTCTGTGTAACGCAGCTTCTCCGGCCGAAGCCAAGCGTGCTTACGCTGGAACATTCTGACGTAGAGCATCTGAGCAGCGGCAGGCAGAGAGCGGAAGCTACTGATCACGTTCAGATCATCATCATCGAGCAGAGGAGTGTGAAGATCATCGGAGAGCACAGAGTTTATGATGAAGAGGAAGTTCTGTAAGTAGTATGGCTGGGAGGAGTCTGATTTCTGGGGCGAGAGGAGAGCTACCTCAGGCATCTCGGTGCTGAACTCCTGGGAGAGGATCTCCTCCTCTTCCACGCTGAGATTTAGTTCGGCATCTGCATCTGCGGTTAAGGTCCGAGTTGAGCTTCTGGCGCTTTCCGAGGTCAACATCGAAGCTTTTGCCGATGCACCGTTTGAGTCGCTATCTATTGTGACCACATCGCCAGGCGGGATGGGATCACTGGCAGGTTCACGCCCGTTGCTAACACTGTTCTTTTTCAGCGGCGAGCAGGGAGTGACAGCGTTGTCGGAGTCTACTCGGAAGTTTCCGATCATTCGCTCATCTGAGTCGCAGCGAAGCAGCCCCACGTCAGCCAGTCTCACCAGGCCGTTTTTCTTGCTCCCGCCTCCTTCGTTTTCCCTTTCCTTCCCCTGGTCTCCTTCTCTTGCTGATACACGAAGTCGATTTGGACTTCCAAAATCTACCAGCTCGGAATGTCCCACCGTGTCCCCTGTGGCTGAACGTGAGGATGCGGTAGCGGCAGGTGAAGCTGGCGCAGGCACCTCCCCAGAGGTTGTTCGATACAGCCGTCGTCTGGCAGCTCCTGGTGAGTTCAGGTACCGCAGAGGGTTCGTTTTGGGGAGACGCCGGTTAGGACTCTGTAAAGGACTCGACCCCGGACTCATGAAGGGGCTACTTCTCGGATTCTTCTGTTGACCTCCTGGACTCTTGCCTTGCCACCTTCCGGGACTCTTGCTTTGACTTCTGCTGGGACTTTTCCCGGCACCTTGTTCCCTGCGCTGTGCGGGACTCCGCCTCGGACTCCGACCTTTCGCTGGACTCTGATTCCTGCTAGGACTCGCACCAGTCGGCGCAGGCAGATTCAGTCCGGACAGTGCAAACCGTCCCATACGGCCGGCCACCGCTGGCGAAAGCCGTACCCTCGCTCCCGGCGACGCCAGGCGACCTGCCGGCGATGACGTCACAGCCGCCGGTGATGACGTCAGCGGCCGGCCGGGCGTGACGTCACCAGGAGACTCTCGAACACGCCCGCTGGGGCTGACGGAGGGCGAGCGAGTGGGCGACACGAGCCAGCCGCCCGGACCGACTGCCTTGCAGCGCAGTTGAGGTGTGTTAGGTGCGCTTCTCTCACCGACGGAGCTCGAGTTACTCCACATGGTCTCGCAGAAGGCAGCCGCGGCGCCTCCAATGACGTCAGAGATCTGCGGGGAGTCCTGGCCCCACACAGGCACGTCGTCCTCCTTCATAGGAGTGGAGGAGAGTGGTTGGGCGCTGCCTGCGATGGACGGCTCTGCAGTGGTCGAGGGATTGGCCACATCACTGGAAGGGGCAGGTGAGGATGTTGTGGATGTAGGCGCACCAGCTACAGATCCAGCTGCTTTTGATGGTGTACTTCTTCTGGGTACATCAGCAGTGCTGTAGGGATCTGGTACATCTTTCTTGACTTCCAAAACATTTCTTCTAGAAGCACTTGGTAGAGGTAGAGGTGCTGTGGTCTTTTTGATTGGAGTTTTAGTGTCCTCAATGATTTCAATGTCTGAATCGCTGTCATCCTTGGGGACAGGGCGTTTCTGGTTAGCGACTGTGCAGTTCTTCTTGTGGAGGTTCAGCTGAGGGGTGCTGACTTCCTTCAGGCAAACTGGACATTTGGACACAGTTTTAACAGACCCTGCTTTGGAGAAGAAGGCAGTGAGGGTCTGCTGGCCCTTCTCCAATGGCCTGTCCTTCAACAGCTTTGATCTGTTCATTTAGGCTTTCACGCCTTTCTTCTACTTGCATTTGCAGTGCTCACCTCTGAAAAGCAAGTGAACCATTAAATTTCTCACAGGCAATGACAATGCAAGAACAGTACAATATAAGTACAAAATGTTCAACTCTACTGAATCATTGAAGACTAAAATAAAACACCCATCTGCAAGGAACTACATTTCTTTGATCATCAAAACAATGAGTTTGTCAGATTTCATTTGTTGCTAGCATGTGCAAAAGCTAATGCTAGGCTGCCATTGCTGGGAGCAGACTTGGTTTGTGCAATCAGTGATACTTGCACTTTGCAGTGTATCAATTCTATCATGTGAAAGTTCTTTTACCAACGTTTGACTATTGTGTATACCTACCTCCACCCTACTCAACTATTTTCAGGGCATGTCACACTGATGTCATTTCCGCCATTATCACATTGTTACATCATTGGTGGTATATGTGCCAAGCTATTGATAACTATGCCAAAAAAGTGGGCAATGCAACATTGCTGACATTACCAGCCTGAGCTGACAGGAAGCATAGTCAGTTTAGATAGGCATTTGGTATTGCATTCAACATTGTATTTCCATAGCATTCCTTAACCCTCGCCGGACCTATTGGTTTTCTACATACGCGCCGGCCGAGGGGGGGGGGGGGGCGGGTACGACCCTCCCCCCCTCGCCGTTTCGCCCCTGGTGGAGCTAGCGCGTCGCGGAAAAAACGAGCGTGTGCGCCGTTACGAGACGCAGAGATTGGTACCCGAGTTTAAGGTCCTAGGTCAACCGGTGACCTCTGAGGTCAGGTCAAGTGCCCCAAGGTACGGTTCAGATTTTGGTGAATAACTTCGCAAAAAACGGCCGCAGAGCGCTGATTTTGGCAGCATCGTGTTCGCCTCGCTCAGGCGCGTCGAATGCTATACTTTTTGTCCGGGTCAGGTCAACTTGGGGTGTTGACCTCAGGTCAAGGTCAGGTCAGCACCCCCAGGTCACGAAGTTGGTCGAAAGAGGTCATGTCGCATATCATTCGATTCGGCAGGCCTTCCTGAGTCCATTGGTGGCTTTCCCGACTCGCTAGCTCAATTTGATCAAGAGTTATTGACGAAATCTAATATGACCTTGATGACGTCATAAATGACGTCACGCAAGGTCAACATTGCAAAAGTGACGCATCTAACCTTGCAAGGAGTGCACCAAATCACGATTCTGTGTGCTTGAGATAGTTAGAGATCGTTCCCGGCGCCAGAATAGCAGTTTTCATTTTTCCCCATTGACTTATAATGGTGAGGTCACGAAAATGACCTGACCTCATATGACCTTTAGGAAAAATCCGAGATATACAAGTTGTGGGACTCATAATGGATACTAGATCCTGCAAGTTTCATTTCCCTGTGACATCTCCTCTGGCAGTGAGGACGTTGCGAAGTTGCGACATCTGAAGACCGTGCAGAGGTTCACTTATGACGTCATAGGTCAGTGACCTGACCTGACCCAAAAATGCAGTTGGTGTCAAAAGATCGGGCTTGGATCAAAGGTCAGGTATGCCAAGTTTCAGCTCTCTATCGCCAGCGTGTTCGGAGCTATCGCGAAAAAACCCTATGGGGGGGGCGGCACCCACCCCCTCCTCGACCGGCGAGGGTTAAGGTAAATCTATATTTGCTTGAAGTCAATTCAATCCCAAATGTAAAATCCAACACTCATAAAATACACATTGGTAGGTACAATAATTGTGTGACAAACTCAAAGTCAATCAAGTAATATCGCAAATTGTAAAAGCTCAGCCTCAGTTCAGGAGGCAGCGGCAGCACGCCGCAGCAGGCAGCAGCCAGCAGGCACGCACCGAGAGAAGGCGGTTCCGAAGAGGCAATAGAAGCAAAGGCATCTAACTAACTTTTCAAACTAAAAACCTTACAGATGAAAAATGGGAAGCTAGCAAAAAAGTGGATCAACACAAATTGATGTAGTAAAAAGCAAGTTGAGATTCAAAACAAGGTCCAGTGGTTGAACACGCACCACAACACAAACATGAACAGGGAGGGGCGCTGTGTCTTCACAATATGAATCAAAATTGCTGAAACATTGATAACCAGTGAAGTGCTTAGAGCACCTCAACCTCATAATAATGGGAATTTGAATTCGATTGAGATTCATCAACTAACACCACAAAAAAGCATAGCATAATCCAGCCTAATCCTCACACACGAATGCATCCCTCGGCGGCCTCGGCGAGAGCAAGGGCGAGAGTGAAAAACGCGCGAAATGAAAAAAAAAATCATTCGGGTACTGTTCATTTTCAGATAATTTTAAAGTCACATATGAAATACACGAATCAGTGAACTAGTTTCCGACTTTGGCATACATCTTTTGTGCTAACAAAATCACAAAACAGAACAGGTATGTATAGATATCGAGCGTCATTTATGTAGCATAAAAGTGCTTCCATATCCACCCACATTGTTTACATGTATGGCGCAGGATATGCATTTCATGTTGATCATACACTGCCCATCATACAAAAAGAGTATTTCATATTAAAATAACGAGTAGGTGCTGGTGTTGCATGGCTGTTTTCACGTCAAATGTCTCCTTCACATTTCAATTTTGTGGTATAAGAAAACTGCACTTGATAGCCCAGTTCAAGTTGTATTTTTGCACGAATTTGCCCCACTAGTCTCACTCGCTGTAGCACCCATCCCAGCCAAATACCTATAGCAAATAATACATGCTACTGAAAATTGTGATTTTACTTACTTTCATTAGGTACATGCGTCTACCATGATCCATCCAGTGGTTGCATCATTGGTATCGGTAACCCTGGCACCACCAGTACCTAGTGCTTTCGTTCAAGGTTAAGGTTTCCTGTATTAGGCCGCCTTGTCAAGCCGGAGCATGCTCTGATGTCACTGGGTAAGAGGAGATGATAAGGTACCACTCTATTAGTGTCGACTGAGACTCAGATAGACTCAGACTGACTCAGGCAGACTCAAGCTGACTCGGACCAACTCAACGGATTCAGATAGACTCAGACCAACTCAGATAGACTCAGAACGACTCAGACAGACTCAGGCAGACTCTAACAGACTCCAGACGGACTCAAACTGATTCAGGCTGACTCAAACCGACTCAGGCAGTGTCAGACTGATTCATACCAACTCAGGTACCTAGACTCATAATGACTCAAACTGACTCAGACCAACTCAACCGACACAAATCGATTCTGATCGACTCAGACAGAATCAGTCAGACTCAAACTGACTCAACCAACTCAAACCGATTCAGATCGACTCAGACAGACTCAGCTAGACTCAGAACGACTCAAAATGACTCAGACCGAATCAACCGACTTAAATCGATTCTGAATTCTGATCGACTCAGACAGACTCAGAACGACTCAGACAGACTCAGGCAGACTCAAACCAACTCAACCGTCTCGAACCGATTTAGACCGACTCAGACAGACCAATTGGTTTGACCTGAATCATCAGACCTGAATTGGTTTGAGTCGGTCGAGTCAGTTTGAGTGTGCCTGAGTCGGTTTGAGTCTGCCTGAGTCTGTCTGAGTCGATCGGAATCGATTTGAATCGGTTGAGTCGGTCTGAGTCAGTTTAAGTCGTTCTGAGTCTATCTGAGTCGGTCTGAGTCGATGTGAATCGGTTTTAGTCTGCCTGAGTCGGTTTGAGTCTGCCTGCGTCGGTTTGAGTCGTTCTGAGTCTGTCTGAGTCATTCTGAGTTTGTCTGAGTCCATCGGTATCAATTTGAGTCCGTTGAGTCGGTCTGAGTCAGTTTGAGTCGTTCTGAGTCGGTTTGAGTCGGTATCAGCACCATCATCATCATTTATTTCGATTGGAACTCCATATACATGGCTTTTCAGTCCAAGAGTCAAATACAGTATAGTTCATACAGCTATCATCATCATGCTATCAATAATCAATAAAAGTGACACCAGACTACCTAGCGTTGAGGTGCTTCCTGCAGCGTTTGCGACACGGCGCCGATGATTGCGATTCTCGAACGTCAGCGGGGAGCGAGTTCCATAGGCAGGTAGCGCGATATTGAAAAAACGTACGGGCGTGTTCAGAACGTACTGGTACTCTCGGTACCTACCTCGAGCGCCAAATTCTCTGTAGCACGTGTCCGCCTGCTCGACACATCACCACGTCGCAGGAACCGCTCGGAAAGACATTTCGGTGCATGAACATTGTGACACAGATAATGAACAACACCGCAGTCGCTCTCTGCCACTAGCTGGTCCACTGTGGGCCGTTCTAACTCAGTCAGCAATGGAGTCACGTGAGAAGAGCGCCGCACTCGCATGACCACCTGCGCACAGTGGTTAATGATTTTCTGAATACGATGTCGCTGCACTGCGCCACAGCCCGACCACACGGACAAACGGTGGTCGGGACAAACGATATGAATCGGTCTGAGTCTGCCTGAGTCGGTTTGAGTCTACCTGAGTCGGTTTGGGTCTTACCTGAGTCGGTTCGAGTCTGCCTGAGTTGGTTTGAGTCTGCCTGAATCTGTCTGAGTCGTTCTGAGTCGATCTGAGTCAGTCTGAATCGGTTTGAGTCGGTCGAGTCAGTTTGAGTCTGCCTGAGTCGGTCTGAGTCTATCTGAGTCTCAGTCGATACCGATAGCGCGGCACGTTATCTACTCTTACCCAGTGACGTCACAGCATGCTTCGGCTTGGCACGGCGGCCTAATACAGGAAACCTAAACCTTGAACGAAAACACCACCGCCCACCGGTGACGCCAGGGTTACCGATACCGCATCATTTGCTGGTGTGAAATACTGGTGCTCATTGTTTCAGGCAATGGGGGCCAAGAAGAAGCAAAAGCTCTTGTCTGCTGCTGTGGATGATTTGAATGCTGGTAAGTGACTGTTTATGCAGTTACTCTTTTGGCTTATGTAAATCACAATTTAACACATGCTACTTAAGCTAAGTGAATAGTTAAAGTGGCAAACCTACCTAGCTCACTGACATATAAGACTCATGGAAAGGGTTACAAAAAATATGCATTGTGAACATGAGCCTTGACAAAGAATCTACTGAAATAGAACCCCCACACTGCTGTCAATACCTCATCAAATACACCATCACATGTACTCACTTTCTTCACCCTTCACCCGCAGGTCTGCAGGCCATTCTCCATGACGCCTCCCTATCCACTGAGGAGCGGGCCTCTTCGGCCGGCCGCGCGCTGCGTCAGCCCGGCCTGCCGTCTGGCGTCTGCCGCGCCGCTGTCGACTGGCTGCTGGTTCAATCCGACCCAGCGGTGGGGGCCACACTTCGGGACTGTCTCTCGACTCCCGGAGTTCAGTGCGCGGTGGATGCGGAGCCGAAGATGCTGGATAAAGTGCTGCTCTCCGCGGCTGGTGTGAGTGGTGGGTCTGATGGTGCTGGAAGAGATGTGAGAGATGAGGGAGGTCGTTCAACTGGTGGTGGTGCAAGCCGTGGAGAGGCAGTAACGCTGGATCTATCGGCCTTCCCCGCAGAACTTCTCATCAGCCCAGCAGCCTCCGCGGCCAATCAAGCTCTAGCTTCGTCCTCATCCACCAACCTCTCAAACTCTCATAACGTCACCGACTCGAATGACGTCACTGATTCCACTGACATCACTGATTCCCGCTCCGTGTCGCTGTTTCGATGTCTGTGCTCGCGTCTTTCCAGCGTGGCCGATCCGTCTGAATCCCTCCGCGCTACCTATCTCGCCGAGCTCCTTCTTCCCAGCCTGCGTCTGGCCTCTGCTCGACCCGACCTCACAGATACCGTCAGAGGGCCTTTCGAGGCGATCGCTCTAGGTTCGGACGGACTAGCTGGACTGACGGCTGCGGCAGGGGAGGGACATAAGGCCCCTGAAGGACCGGCCCAGCAGCTGCTGAACGCGCTACAGAATCTGTCGGCGACGGAGCCGTCACTTGGAGTTGAACTTCTAGGTCTTCTGGCCGGGAGGCTACTAAAAGAGAAGACACCCCTGAATGTGATCACTCTCCTGGCGAGATCTGTTGGAATCGCCACTGAAGCGCTTGATGAGACCCAGAAAACACCTCAGAAGTCGACACCGAGCGAACTCGAGACCGACCTTCCGCTATCCACTCGTCTCTTGATACTCGGAAGACTCGCCAGATGTATCCGCGAAGCTCGTTTACCTCTCACCTCAGCATCTGGCGGACAAACCCTCCTTCAGTGGCTACGGGCGGCGGCGGCTTCCGCAGAATATTCAGCTAGTTCTGCAGCTTCGTATCGAGACGCTGACACGGCTGCGGCGTGGTTTGACTGTGCGGCTGAGCTGATGAGGGTGACACCTCTAGTTCTGCCACTGCAGGGCAGGCTTGGAGCGGTACTGCTGGAGGCGATTGAGGAGAGTCATGGGGAGGAGGGTGAGTGCCGAGTGGGGGAACCATGGGACGGAGGGGTTGGGACTAGCTAGTCTGAGAAGAGTCATGAGGGAGGATGGATGGGAGGAGCTTGGTACTTTGAGACTTGAGTATGTATTTTTTTTTTTTTTGAATATTTTGGCTAACTTAGAATTCAGATGTTGATAAGTTTTATGGCATCGTCGTCATTTTAATGTACTTTTTGCTTATTTCCGATATGATTCCAGAGCAAAACTAACTACTCCTTCAGCGAATGCCATTATGCTCCATATTTCATGACCTCTTTATACAATATACATTATTGCTGGTTTTCGAAACGACTGTCGTTTGTTTCGTCACCATTAACGCAGTCTCCCCTCCGCTGTCTCGCGGTTTCAGGTCCCGCCTCGGCCACCGCCACTCGTCTGGTCTCCCTCATCATGAGCACCTACTCGGAGCTGCGACAGCTGCCCAGACTGCTTCCACGTCTCCTACTGGCCGCCCGCCAACTCTCTTCAACATCAACACCGTCACCAGCTTCAACACATACACCGAAGAAGCGGAAACACCACGAAGAGGAAGCGGGAGAAGCGAGGAAGCGGAGGCGGCTGCGTCTGACGCCTGCTCAGGAGGCGCAGTTGGCTGAGCTGGTGGCGCGCCTGCCGCAGCAGCACGTGCAGGACGTGTGGAAGACCCTGCTGTACCATCTGACGGAGGACGGAGCGGCCAGGATGGCGCGCGGAGAGGAGAGCGAAGGTGAGATGACAGAGGAAAGGGAGGGGGAGGACGGGAGATGGTAGGAAGGGATAAAATATGGAAGGAGCTGGGCTGGATAGGGACAGGAGAGAGACTGAATGTGGTCTACAGTCTACACACTCTACAGCCAATACAGCATACGTGGGGGGAGGTCAAAGTGCAGAAGGAAGGGAGAGGAGGGGAAGGGAGGGAAGAGGAAAGGAGATAGGGTAAGGGGAGAGACAAGAAAGATGGTGGGAGTGTGTCTTTGATAATGCCGTGAACTTGTGCTGCTATCCTACAGCTGGACACTTGCCACCATTGATGAAAATCTGGATCCGCCCGATATCGCAACCCCAAGCTTATTAATTTACGGTACCGGGTCCCATTACCGTTGGCACTAACCCAACCCACTCCCTCCACCTTTCAGATCTCATCTCTCCGGTCCTGGAGCTCACTTTACAGCTGCTCTCCGTTTTTCTCGGGCACGCCGCCGTGATCGACCAGACCACCGTCACGGCCGCCACGCGCGCTCTGTTGGCCGGTCTGATGACTCAAACTGCCGAGACTCTGCAACAGGTGGCAGCACAAGTCACCAAAACATACAGGGTAAGCCGGTACAGCGGGATTGCTGGGAGATATATTTATTATATAGCTATCATGCTTTAAATGATTGCTTGATTTTGCAATGGTTTTGTGCTGGTTAACCCGCGCCCAGCTGGGGGTCCTGGATTTCCACGCCCTGCTGGGGGGGGGGGGGTGTTCAAACACCCCCCTTCTAACTCGGCTCCTGGGCCACGTAGAGATACGCCGAAGGCGGCGTTCGAAAGAGCGTCAAAAATAATGACGAAATCACTTCGGTCAATTTTTTGTTCAGGTCAAAGGTCAGGTCACCAGAGGTCATTGAAGGCAAAATTTCGCCGATTTCCAGGTCGAATGTCGACAATTTCCAAGAAGCCAACGCATAACTCGGGAACCAATAGAGCTACAGCGCCGCGGAAAAGCGCATCCGATAGCCCTATTAACGCCCTTTCTGAGTAATTCCTTCAGATTTGACCTAACGTCAACGGTTTTGCCTGCAGGGGGCAAAAACTGCAAAAATAGCCGATTTTTTCAGAAACAGTTTTTCTGCAATAACTTTTGATCCAGGCCTTGTACGAGCTTACTTTTACCGGCATCGTGTTCCTCTCGTCAAGACGCGTCGAATGAACTATAACTTGACCTTTAAAGGTCAACTTGAAAATTTGACCTCAGGTCAAGGTCATGACCTGACCGGGAAGGGTCGTGTTGCATATCAGTCGATCCGTATAGTCGAGCTGAACACGTCTAAGGCGTTTTCATCGCTCTAGCATGCCTCTATCAAAAGTTATTTGCGAAAAACTGTTAGATACCATTCGTGACCTAAGATGACCTCAGGGCATAAACAGGGGTCACGGACACCATTTTCATGTTCAGTGTGTCTAAACCACTTGTAATTCAGTGTTTGGGAGTGTTTATAATGCCTTTCGTCAAAAAGAGGCGCATTTCAATTTTCTCCCATTGACTTATAATGGGGAGGTCGCAAAATTGACCTGACCTTAGGTCATCGATATCAAAATTCTGAGATATACATTTTGTACATGCTATTGCTCTTAGCAATCGCTGAAAGTTTCAAAGCGATCGGTCACTCGGTGTACCTTTGACAGACATTGAAACTTTTTATGAGGTGAGGTCACTTCAAGTGACCTGGTGACCTGACCTTGAATGACCTTGGTCTGAAATTTTAACAACATGTGTAGAATTGATGTATGATAAGGTGTACCAAAAACGGCGGCGCTCCGCGCCGCCGTTTTTGAGATATTCGCGAAAAACCACAAGGGGGGTGTTCAAACACCCCCCCCCAGCAGGGCGCGGGTTAATAACAGTTTGATTACTAAGAAACATGATTTTCGTCGTACTCGGCTGAAGTGAGCGTTATTTCAATAGGCAGTTTCAACAATCAACATAACCCAGGATTAATTTACCATTCTTCTGCCGATTTTTATCGAGTCATTTGCTTTCGTCATCTCCATTATTCAACTTCGCACTTCAGGTTTCAGCTTCATATCCGATCTTATAAGTGTTTTATGATCTTGAAAGTGTTTTATGCCAACATCGACAATTCTATTATGAGTAAATACGACGCGATGGCTGGCACTCACTGCACTTGAGAGCTATGATATTCTTGCATTAACAGAAATGAAACCTAAAGTTGGGTTGATGCCTGAACACCCTGTAATGGAACTGCCCGACTACGAATTATTTACTAGCAACTTTTCAGCCGGAGCTACTAGGGGCACGGGAATTTATGTAAAAAAGAATCTGATGGCCAAACAAGTTTATCCCACGGGAGACTGCAACTTTCAGGATTGCACCTGGATTACGGTTAATGCCCGGGGTGGAGCAAGTATGCTTGTTGGGGTGATCTACAGAAGCGGGTCACCAAATAAAGCTATTCTTCAAGATCCTGATCTTCACAAAATGCTTGGCTGGGCAGCATCCACAAATCATTCGCACAAGGCTATAGTCGGTGACTTTAACCACCCAGAAATATTCTGGACCCCGGACCCAGAAGTTCCAGAAGGTGTCAGCCAGAACAGCCCAGCTCGTAAGTTTATCGAATGTATACGCGATACCTACTTTCTACAGCATATAACAGAGCCAACAAGATACAGAGATTGACAGCGCTCTACTCTCGATGACCTACTCTTTACAAATGAGCGAGACTTGGTGGAACAACTGACAATTGGAGACCCGGTTGGAGCAAGCGATCATGCCAGTGTCTCATTTGCTATATCGTTTGTCCCTTACGTTCCAGTAAGAAAGAGTGCGGTACTGAATTACCACAAAGCCAACTATGAAGAAATGAGGAAAGCACTGGACGTTGACTGGCAAGTACTATTTGAAGGCAAATCTGTGCATGAGATGGCAGACACGCTTGAACAAACGATCACGGATTTAATGGATAGGTACGTGCCCAAGCTGGACACCAACAAGAAAGCGAAAAGAGGAAATCCCCTGTGGATGAATCGGAGTGCTCTTAGAATGGTGAAGAAAAAACATCACGCTTGGGTTCGTTTTCTGAACACCAAGGACAGTAATGATTACGAAAGTTATGTCAAGGCAAGAAATGAAGCTACCCACGCGACCAGGAAAGCAAGGCGGGAATTCGAGTCGAAGCTGGCTAAAGAAGTCAAAGGAAATCACAAAGTGTTTTGGAACTACGTCAACCGTCGCAGGAAATCAAAATGTGGTATCTCGGACTTGCGTAGTGCTAATGGTGAACTGGCAACTAACGACAAGCACAAGGCTGATATATTGAATCATCAGTACGCAAGCGTTTTCACAAAGGAAGACAAGTCATCGATCCCAACGCTAGCTCCAAAGCCTTTGGAGGCAGAGATGCAAGTTGCGATAACTGTTCAGCGAGTCCATGCCAAGCTGGAAACACTGAAGATTGATAAATCGCCAGGCCCCGACAACATGCACCCTCGTGTTTTGCACGAACTTGCTGACCAACTTGCGACACCCATCACATCTCTGTTCTGTAAAAGTATTGAAACTGGAGAAGTTCCACGGCAATGGAAGGTGGCCACCGTCACGCCAATCTTTAAAAAAGGCGACAAAAGTGATCCCGCGAACTACCGACCAGTGTCACTGACATCAATATTATGCAAGATTCTGGAGAGGATCATATGCGAGGACATCATCGCTCATCTGAAGACAAACAATCTTATCGCTCGCCAACAACATGGTTTCATCACAGGGAAATCTACAGTCACAAACCTACTGGAAGCTCTTGATATTTGGACGGAAGCGCTAAGCCACAGCTTACCAGTGGATGTTGTGTTTCTGGACTATGCCAAAGCGTTCGACACCGTGCCCCATGAACGGCTTCTAGCCCAGGTCCAGGCTCTAGGGGTGAATGCAAAGACTCATCAGTGGATAAGGAGTTTTCTAACAGGCAGGCGGCAAAGAGTGAACGTCAATGGATCACTCTCAGACTGGGAGTATGTAACAAGTGGAGTGCCGCAAGGCTCAGTGTTCGGGCCTCTCTTGTTTTCCATGTTTGTCTGTGATGTTCCCGACCTCTTAAATTGTCATATCTCTATGTTTGCGGACGATACCAAGGTCTACCAAGTCATCAACGAGCGCGATGGTGAACTTCACAATCTGCAAGAGGACATCAACTCTTTGCAAGATTGGGCAAAAACAATGCAGATGATCTTTCATCCACTCAAGTGCAAGGTCATGCATCTAGGACCAACAAATCCTGGAAGTGAGTATACCATGACAACTATGGGTGGAGGCAAACATACCCTTGAAGCAGTCTGTGAGGAAAAGGACCTGGGAGTCACTATAGACATGAAGCTATCCTTCTCAAAACATGTCACTAACCAGATTAACAAGGCCAATAGAATTCTTGGTGCAATCAAGCATACCTTTGCAAACATTGACAGCGAGATTTTCAAAGCCTTGTACAAAAGCATTGTCAGGCCCCACCTCGAGTATGCAACTGTTATATGGAGTCCCAAGTTCAAAAAGGACAAAGATGCACTCGAACAGGTGCAGCGGCGGGCAACACGGCTGGTGAACGGACTGTCTCACCTTTCATATTCAGATCGCCTCAGGAGCCTTAATTTACCTACTCTGGAATTCCGACGGAAACGGTCGGACATCATCGAGACCTTCAAAATTTTGAAAGGCTTCGACAAGGTGGACTTCCAAAGAGAGTGCCCGTGTTGTCACAACAGCATGTTCAAGAACTCTCTCAGCCGTGTCACCCGAGGTCACGATCAAAAACTTCAAGTTCAGCATCAATTGGGACCCAGAAAAGCCTTCTTTGCGGCACGAGTAACTCAGACATGGAACAAGCTGTCAACCCACACCATCGATGCTCCAAATGTCGATGTGTTCAAGTACAGACTGGGGAAGGAATGGAAGGACCACCCTGAAAAGTTCAACTACAAGTTCTCATACTAATGATCATCGTGGCCATCAATGTATGGCCTCACCTAGCATGGCAGCCTACTCGTCTTCGTCAGAAGAAGAGGAGGCATCTCTTGAGTAAAGGGTCTGATTACTCGAAAGGGTACCTAATGACCTTTACTTAAGGTAAATACTTAAGGTAAATACTTATAGTGCTGCAAAGACAGTAATAATCCAAACACCAACTGTTAATTAATGGGGAAAATGACCTTTGCATTCGGTGAGCCCTAAAGCCCCAATAAACAAACGACCAAACCTACCGTCACTGCTAACTGCACCCTCCCTCCTCCCCCTCAGTCCCCAGGTCACGTGTCCGGCCTGCTCTCCGCCGCTCTCTCCTGGCGGCGCCTGCACTCTGCCCTGCTGCACTACTGCCCCGCCTACCGGTCAGAGATGACGTCAGAGGACGCAGGGATGACGTCACCTCTGGCGCCACTCGGGGAGAAGCGATGGACGAAACTGGTGAAACTGGAGGCGGCGACTGAGGCCGAGTGCCAGACACTGGTGGTGAGTGGGGCGCCGGGAGCTGGGCTGTGAGGTCGGTGGTAGCTCGAGGAGTTGGGCGCTGTGGAATCCCTGGAATTAGATGGATGGAATGGGGCTCGGAAAGGGCTGGCTGCATACTGCATAGGTACGATCAACAACTTTGAATGGGTTTAAAAGCGGAAACTGTTTGGGATGGCTTCACTAAAGGCTTTGATTGGTGTTTAGTTGCTATTGATCCTCTGCCCAATCGACAATCGTGTCCCAGATGCAGTGTATCTTTTTATTTTCCAGGCACTGGCGAAAGTTAAACCGTATTCTCTTTTCTTTTTAGGTTGCACAATTTATCATTGTTTGAGGTCTTTTCAGTTTTACAGCAGGAATCCTATTCTTTTGATGATAACTAGATAAGCATATTTCTGACGACGGACCGTTTCCGCCTTCCCCAGACGGAGTTCGTCTCTGAGGCGGCCCGAGTCGCTCCGCCGGACTGGCAACCGCCCGCCGCGGCGGGGGCGAGGGCGGGTCGCCCGCTGAGCGGCCCCGCCCTCCTGCCCCTCTCCCCCTCCCAGCTGGGCGCTCTGCTCCCCTCGGGAGCTGAGCAGCGCCCCCTGCCTCTCGCTGTAGCTGTCCTACTGGCCGACCGGCTGGCAACGGCTCTGCCACCTAGCGACGGGAAAAGGAAGCTCGAGTGCGGCCGGCCACCGCAGCAGCTGGCGGCGGCGCTGCGAGCGGCGGCAGCAGCGGCGCTGGAGAGGATGGATGCGACGGTGAAGATGCCACAGCCTATGCCGGAAGATGTGCTGGAGATTCTGGAGGAGGTTGGAGCAGCATTGCAGGCAGACGCAGAACGCTGGAGCTCGACCAATGGAAGTTCAGAGGCGGAAGATGTGAAGTCTGGGAAAAGTTCAGCCTCACTGACGAGGCCTCTTCAGCTGGTGCTTGCTCTACCACTGGAGCATGTCTCGGAGCTGGCAGCGTCTCTCCTCCTCCCACTGCTCTGCCTCTGCCTCCTGCACTCTCCCTCCGGCGGCAGAGTGCGGGAGCTGGCTCTCTCTGCCCTTACAGCTCTGCTCGTTTCGACGGGCTGCAGCCGACCGCTGGAGACAATCCAACCGGGGAGACTCCTCACATGGCTGGCTGCCACTCCTCCCTCTCTCCCCTCCTCCCATACTCTTTCCACTGACAGTGATGGCTCGGAATCAATGGATGAGGACGAAACAACCTCTAAGAGTCATACAGACTCGAAACATACCAACGGTACGGTCTCCTCTCCCAAACCCCGCCGGAAATCTACCACGTCTGTTCCAAACGGCTGTGCTGGCGAGGTCGCGGGTTCAACTCCTGGCGCCGGCTGTACTTTGGCCCGCCGGGCAGTACTGCGCTGTTACCCGGGCAGACGCTGTGCCCGGCTGGGGCCGGTGGCGGAGCAGCTGGCGGCGCGACTGCAGGACGGCTCGGCGGGAGAGGGAGCGCTGGATACGCTGGTCGAGATGCTGCAGCACTTCGTGCAGGTGAGAATGGGGCTGGGATGAAAAGAATGGTGTTTGAGACGTTAGTCACCTTTTAATGAGTGATAGCAGATCAGGTGTACTGTGGACTTGGAGACATGATTTGTAATGATTCGTTTCAACGAAGGAAGTATTTTATAAACATTGTGTTGCATCAAAAGGAGGTTCATAGATCCTAGTGTCTGCTGGCTCTAAATGATAGTATGACTTTTTCCAGAAACTTTGGTCAATAATGATATTATGATGATGATTTTTTTTTGTCACGATGCAGTTCATATACTGTTCTGTTTCTGTACCAACCTATAAACCCTCCACGTGCTATTATCCCTCATTATAAACACATCACTGAAAGTCTTTAACCAACCCCTTCCACCTTCACAGGCCAACACCTCTCTGAAGGGCTCGGACTCCGCCGTGAAGGAGCAGGCCAAGTCTCTCTCCGCCTCTCTGCCGCGCCTGCTCTGCGCTCTCCCCTCTGCCGGTCGGCGCCTCACTCTCTCCTCACTGGCTCTTCTGGTTCCTCTGCGAGCCCATAAACCCACGGCGGCCGGGGGCCGCCCGCCACGCTGGCGGAGACTGCTTGCCGAGATGTTCCCCGTGGCTTTGGAAGCTGCTAGAAGCAAGGAAGAGGAAGTGGAAAGGAAGAGGGAGAGTGAGGTGGAGGAGAGAGTGACGGAGGAGGGAGAGCAGGGAGCGGCCTGGGAGCTACTGACGGCAGTGTGTGCAGCCAGGGAACATCTGAAGAGTGATCTGCCGCCGGGATATGTACTGGTGAGTTGAACGGTGGGGTGGGTAGGGGACGGTGCGGGGTCATGGGTGCCAGGCATGCATGAATTGCATGAAGTTTTAGGAGTTGAGGTGACCATGACGTCCATAATTGAAGTTTTTCTTTAGATATGTACATTCCTTTGTTGGCTGTCAATGCTGTATAATCATTTATAATTGCCCTACACTCTGCATAATTATGTATGTAGATGGCTCGTTTCTAAATCCCTATGTGCATTGGACCATAGATAATTGACATTGCCTCCGCAGTGGATTGTAGCTGGACACCTTCACCAAAACTAAATAGGCTGGCAAAATTACAGTGTTGACGTACCGAAATGGCGTCCCTTCTGCTCCTATGACGTCACCAGTATCGAACTCCGCCCAATTGTTTCGTCAGGATGTGTGGCGGTGTGCCCGCTCGAGTGACGTCACTGTCGATCAGCTGCGCACAGTGCTGTCAGCCGCTGATGATGCCGAAATTGAACAGATGGTCACCGAGCTGACAGACGAGACGGTGAGAGGGTTTGGGGAATGTGAGATGAGGCTGTGCTCAGGGTGAGATAAATGTAAGCTAGTGTAATGTTTGGCGAGGGTTGTGTGATATTTTTAAAGTTGCGATGTTGTAAGGAGAATATGAATGTGATATAGAAAAGTGAGGGGCTGGGGTACTGTAAGATTGCGATAGGCTTTTCAATAGATAACATGAGTCATGTCATCTATGGCTCTTCTTATGTGAGATGGTTAGAAAATGACATATTGAAGGATGACAGTTTGGTTGTGTGGGACTGCAGCTGTTGGGGTGTGCTGACATGAGATTGGGTGGATGCGTCTGGCCACGTGGGGCCTGTGAACGCCTGGTCTCCCAGACACCCACCACACTGCAATACCTCTCTCGCTCGGCCCTCTCTAACTCCCGCTCCGCCCACCAGACGTCTCTGCCGGTCTCTCCATCCGCCGCCGCCCTCTGGCGTCGCCTGCTCTCCGCCTGGAGGGCACTGGCCGGCTGTACCCAGCTCTCCACCGCTGGCCGCGCCCAGCAGAGGCGCGGGCTGACCCGGCTGCTGGCCCGACTGGCCGATACGCTGGTTAGAGAGCCAGCGGCGCTGGTCGGGCCCGGAGAGAGTGTGGGAGCGGAGGGACAGAGGCTGAGAGTGGAGGTCGTGGAGACGGTGACGGCCGCCGTGGCGCAAAAACACGTGAGTTATGGGGAGGGGATGGAGGGAGAGGTGTGGATAGGATATGTATGGAAGGAGTCATGAAGATCTGTAAGGGTGACTGGAATATGGAAGGAGTGAAGAAGCTGGGTTAGTTATTGTGTGTTAGCAGTGTGATTGGCTTTTGTTTTGCTTTGTTTGGACATATTCGCATGTGCTAGACATCAGAGTGACGTGTCTTGGATTTGTGTAGTAAGGTAACTTCCTTGGCATCAAATGATGGTTGTCAATGTTCAAATGATCTTTCCTTATCTTTACCTGAAAGACTAGCCGGTGGCTACACGTTTTTCAAACTGCATCAACCATCAACCAGATATCAATTGCATCCTTCACTCGCCTCTAATGGCTTTATTTCCTCAGGTTCGTCTGTCGGACACTGCCTACGCGGACGGCGTGCAGTGCTGCCACCTGGATCTGAGCTCCCTGACTACCCTGGAGGCCTGTGAGGTGCTGAGGACCGTCTGTGAGCTGATATACCAGCTGGTCGGCACCCACCAGGCTGTGATCTCTACCAGGCTACCCCTAATCACTCAGGTAAGGGGGATAGTACACTGGTGTAATTGTATACTGCTTATAGTTTACAAGCTGATTACGAACACCTACCAGGCTGTCGTTTCCACCAGGCTGCCGCTTATTGTACAGGTAAAGGATGGGAGGCTGGTTTATTCTACTAGTTTACTTAGTGATATACCAACACCCACTAGGCTGTGGTGTCTACCAGGCTGCCGCTTATTGTACAGGTAAAGGATGGGAGGCTGCTTTTACTACTAGTTTACCTACTAGCTGATATACCAACTTTTTACCACTAGTTTACTAGCTAGCTAATATACCAACACCCACCAGGCTCTGGCGTCTACCAGGCTGCCCCTGATCACTCAGGTAGGGGATAGGTAGGAGGGAAAGGGAGAGAGCTTCATGTACCACTCCTTTCACGCATTGAATGGAAGATAATGGAGGGTTTCTCCTACACAAGACGCTCTCATGAGATAAACGCGGGCTGGGGAGCGGGTAAGGCTAGTCGTGGGTGGTCTGCACTGATACGGTAGATACTTTTTTCTAGTGTATAGTTTATTAAAAAGCAGCAATGAATTCCCTAAGATGCTTCGAGAGATTTGCTTCGGGCCCTAACAGCGGTATATGAAGTCGCTGTTATTCAGTCTGCTGCTCTGCTGTGTTGTACCAGACAGCCTAGTGTGATGCGGCAGCTGTTCCTCTGGCGTGCTGACTTCATAATAGTATGCCACCCCTAAACTATGACACACCAGTTACTTCTTTCCTGTTGACAGGCGGTGCAGTCTGTGGCAGATGAGCCCTGTCAAAGAGCCGCCTAGAAATGGCAGTATGTAGAAGTCACACCTCCAGCTAATTACTATCTCCCTTCTTCTCTGACAGGCGGTACAGTCAGTGGCCGATGAGGCCTGTCTAAGAGCCGCCTAGAAATGACAGTGGAAGTCACCACTCCATTTAACTACCTCCCTTTTTCTTTGACAGGCTGTACAGTCAGTTGCGGATGAGGTGTGTCAAAGAGCCGCCCAGCAGAAACGGCCCAGCTCGGACGAGGTGGCAGCCCTGGTGGCGACAGCTAATAGGATGACCAGGTACGAACTGAGGGAGCATAGATGTACATACAGAGGGGCGGGGAAGGCCTGTTGGGGGGGGGGGGAGGGTGCTGGAGTGGCAGCTGAGAGTGTAGGGGACGGGTCGTCCCAACAAAGACAGTATTAGAGTGGGAAGGGGTTGATGTGAAAAAGTAAGTCGACGTGGATTGCGGAGATGATCCATCAGAGCAGGAACGTACCTTGCCTAACAGTCACGAGATGGGTTTGGAAGGCTGGATAGAAAATTTGTTCAATATTTCAGAAACGGTAAGTGATCAGCGTATGAACTGGTTTTGTCATTTGAATAGCTACTCGCATGTATTGTTATTTTATCAGTTCTTCACTTCTGCTGTTTGGTACACATCCTGCTACCCCTGGTGTCGTCCTCTCTAACCTGTAGTTCTGTATCCCGCCGCTAGGGCGATGCGGGAGCTGGTTCAGCTGGGGCCGCTGTAGCCCTAGTGTCTGCGTCTGTAACTAATAGTTCCCCGTCCCGCCACCAGGGCTGTTCGGGAGCTGGTCCAGCTGGGACCCCTCTCGGAGCTGCTGTGTATCCCTGTAATCTAGTGTCCGAGTCTCTAACCTGTAGTTCTCTGTCTTGCCACCAGGGCTGTGCGGGAGCTGGTCCAGCTGGGACCCCTCTCGGAGCCGCTGGCGCCGTACCTGATAGCGGACCTGCTTACACTGATACAGAGGGAGCCGATCGACGCAGAGGTTCAGGTGAGAAACGAATACATGTTGTGGGGAATCGTGAGCGTGTTGTGTTCATGAGCTGGCTTCGTAAAACCGAGCGAAATTTTACACGAAACAACGCTCGTGATCATGATCGGGCATAGGAATGCATACTGCATGTTTGTAGCAGTCCAGTTTGACCGTATTTGGAGCTGGGGAAATGGGAATTTCAGTTGGAATAGTTTTGAATGCTAAGCGGTTGGCTGTTAAATACCATCGTGATCACGTACTGTCAGAGATGGGTTTTGATCAGCACATTTATCAGCCCAGTCGCGTGCTTATAATGTCGCATTGTTTACAAATAAAAACTTGCTTTTGTAGTCTGTAGACTAATCATTCATGCGTAGGTCGATTTCTATAAGTGCTCAGGCGTCTGACCCCACTCTGCCCATCCCATTCCCAGGAGGCCCTCACTGCCAGTCTGTTCTGCCTGCTGACCCAGTGCCGTAAGGAAGTCATCACGCGTCTGCGGGTCACCCTGCCGGCTACAGTCACCCATCTCTTCCACACGACCGTCAGCACGTACAAGAAGTTCCACAAGTTCGTCGGACGGGTGTAGTGTATGAGGACGACGCTAGAGTGTGAGAAGGAACGAATAACACTGCTAGATGACAGGTCGAGTGAAACGGAGGAGGGTTTGTTGGGGCTGATTCAGGTGCCTTACCACCGTTTACCTGTTACCTAATGGTTTGTTGTTAATCTGCAGTGCGGAGAATGCAAATACAGCTGCTGGGATTGATGGTAAATTTTGAGTAATAAGTAAGGTCTCTGGATGGCCAGGACGGTAGGGTTGATTTTTCGGGACCAATCCCCCAGAGAGTGAAACTGTATCAGCTGACCGTCCGTCCGGAGGAACGCGATGAGTGAGCCGACTTTCAGCGCCGTTCTAAACTGACGAGACGGGTGGCAGAACGTCGCTAATAATGAGACGTTCTGCTTGCCCCTGCCAATGTCTCTATATCCCTTCACTCAAACACAGACGCGCCCATTTGTCAACATTCGTCAACCATTCTACTAATCTCGCGACGAATAGGTCATCCACCCTGGACTGCTTATCACCCCAGGGTGAGCATATTTATGCGCGGCACGGTTAACACATAGCGTTCCGACGGTGTTGGATTCATAAGATACTACAACACCGCCAACAGGACGTGTGAGGGTCGAATCACAAAGAAAGCTCGTACACAAAACGGTATATTTGCCTCCAGCACACATTTCACAAGTGATTCAGATACATATTACACGTTACAACGAAAGTCACCGGCCCGTAACTTCTGAGCCTTAGCCCTTACCCGACACTGAACAAATACACTCTGGGTTACGTGTGACAACGTGGCGTGAAAATCACGCTTAGCATGGGATCTGGCCCCCAACACGGCATAAAAACGGATACAATGAGCGGCTACCAGAACATAAAACATCTTTCTCCCTTGCTTCCGAGCCCTTCAGAGCTCAAAAGCCTACATTGCGCGCCTGCGCCACTCAGACTAAAGACAAATGAAATGTAAAACTGGCCTGGCTATGGAAATAGAATAACTACGCTGTTTCGTTTTCACAACGCAAACTGAGAACTTATATAGGGCAGAACGACGTGGCTGTTGGAGCGAAATGTAAACAGTTCGGCCAACAAACAAAACGTGTGGCTGCTGAAAGGGGACGTTTAAGATGCAAAATGGGTGTAACAGGTTTCAGGCTTATGCAATGTCTTACTCAGTTTAGCTGTGACGATACAGGGCCCAGAAAACGGGCACCTGTCATTTCTTTTGTGATCTGTCAATACGAGCTCATGAGTTATTCCTGCAGTGCAGCGCAACCGCTTTTAAAATAGCCTCTACCAAGCCCCACTACAACACTCGCGACAATTGTCTCAATGTACGCATACAAGCGCGTGTAGTTTTCTCTAGGAATGAATGTTTTCCACACTGCACACAATATGACATGTTCTGGATAGTTCACCTTCAAACACCCTCTGTAGATAAAATATACATGCTATTACAAATCACTGCAGTATCACACACGGGTTAGCGCTCATAGCATTCATTTGCGGTGGAAGCATATTAAAATTGGCGTTACAGGGAAGCCAGCTATTCTCTTCCGCTTTTTGTTATAATTCATTGCACGTTATGATGTTGGAACTTCACACTATCATGGTTTTAACCAGGGCTGCGGAGTCGGAGTCGGAGTCGGAGTCGGTCGGAGTCGACAGCTGTGACCGGAGTCGGAGTCGGAGTCGGAGTCGATTTTAGAAACCCGAGCCGGAGTCGGAGTCGGAGTCACCGAAAATATGTCGACTCCGCAGCCCTGCTAGGTCTGCGGAGTCGGAGTCGGGAGTTGGAGTCGGTCGGAAACGACAATTCTGCACGGAGTCGGAGTCGGAGTCGGAGCTGGTTTTTGAAAGCCGGAGTCGGAGTCGGAGTCGGAGTCGCCGAAAATCCATCGACTCCGCAGCCCTGGTTTTAACCAGAAAGTAGCGCATCAATTAAATTCGGGGTTACATGCAGAATTATACGAGTGCACATGCCATGGTTTCAGTAGCTTGTCACATTGATAGCATATTGTTGACTAATGTTTATCACTTTTAAGTGAATGTTGGACTACCAAACGCATAACTTCCAATAAATATAGCAACGTTCGCTTTCTGACACCTATGGACAAGTGCAAATCACTTTCAAGTTTCAACATGGAGAGACTGAGCTCGGACATCACCACTACAGTACACACGGCCAGTCCACGGCACATAAATGAATCCACCTACGACCTACAGTAGCTCAATTCCGGACAACGACACATCAAATAGCGCACAGTGACCACAACTCTCGACATAACTTCACCAAATGTCTTTTCCATAATCCTCCCAACCCTCCAAAACAAAACGTTTGTCGTTATAAAGCATCTCCTGAACTGCAAGCTCAGGCAGACTAACAAACTCCTTCGCACATCTTCGATACCGAGAGAACCAACTACATGTCCATACGAATCGCGTGATCGCTAGCGCGCTTCACTGCGTCTCGTAGCACAACGAGTTTCGTCCTCCGTCGGTCCAAGAACGACGAGCCTCTGGGCTTTTCACAACGTCCAGCGAAGCTCATAGACTTTAATAGTCCTCGCAGTGTACGCACGGATGAGCGGATGAGAGTTCCGCACCGTGGGCGTTCTAGGACTCTCTAGTGCCGCGACACTCATTGAGTTCCAGATACTCTCAGCGAATTTCTGACACGAGATTCGAGATTCCCACTGAGTACTCAGTCGAGTTCCTCACAGAGTCCCTTAGATTTCACCGAGTCCCTGCAACCTTCGCAGTGACTTCATGCAACCTTCACTGACTCACTGCATTCTGCAATCTTCACTGAGCCATTGCAATCTTCACTGAATCCCTCTCCGCGACTGTCATGTAGTCCATGTGTCATTCCCTGCATCTTGGCAGCATTCACGGATTCCCAAGCGGCCCTCACTCAGCGGTACCAACCAAATCCCCGCCACTCTTACAGTCCTCACACCCCGCCCTGTATAGTATACAGGGCGGCCCAGTGTACCCCCACAGCCCTCAGTCGGCCTGATACCGTTGTAGCAGGAAGGTATGGCAGGCGTCACAGACTCGGACCGGTTTGGCCGAGGCGGCCAGGGCCATCGTGTTGTCCGAACACGGGTTGCAGAAGACGCCGCCGCAGTTTCGGCAATGGTGCTGGGCGGGCGAGATGGGAAGGGGAGGGTTAACGAGAGTACAGAGAGCGATCATGGATTACAGATGCTGGTCAGTCGGATAGCACGAAAAATTACCTATTAATGCAGAATGGTTAGATTGTTGGGATAAGTGATCGAAGTGGATCATAAAGAGCAATCGGTTCATATCTTAGCATCGTCTGAATTATTCCTGCATGGATTTTTCAAGTTCCGATCGTTCAACGAAGCGATTCATCACGCAATTTATCTAAGATATCGTATCTATTATTTGGTCTTCCCATAGGTTGTCATCAGTTGCAGTCAGTTGTCATCAGCAGCTAGCAGATTCAAACCTCATTCCCTTTCTCCTTCGTTATCCCTCCTGACATCTTTCTCCAACACTAACCATCCTTCGCAAATAAACGCCTCCTGTCTCACCACCAACCTATTCGTCCAGCTACCCCTCCTCTTCCTGTCGCCTACCTTCCTCCGACTGATGGTGAACTCGTTCTTGCAGCCCTTGCAGTGCTGCGCGGCACTGTCGGGCACCCATTGGCCGTCCAGGGCGTAGCGCGCCGTCTGACGAAGGTCCTCCATTCTGAGGAGGGAGGGACACGCGTGAGAGATAGGATGGAGGTCGGCAGGCCGGTAGGAAATGCATACTGGGTGTGTCAGTGCTAGATAGCAATTGATAGTTGAGACGAAAGGAGTCTCGGGAAGTGCACGATAAGCATTTACACCTTTATAGTCATCGATGCTACAAAATGCTGATATATTTTTGAACGACAAGACGAAACCATTGTGTGAATGACATTTTTCAACTGAAAGAAAACTAGCTCGGTGGAAGAAAATCGTAACACAAACGGTGCCTTTAACTGACATGCATTTGTAGTGTCCTTTTCGATTCTTACCGATGCAACGTCAGTTGACACTACACCTATAAACGCGTGATGTTTCATTCTCATCAGATTTCACCACAGCGAAATTTTGTCCCACTGACTGATTTTGTCATTTTCTCTTACCTCAGTTTGGACTCTGAAAGGTGGTGTCCCAGCTCCTCCAGGGTCCTCTCGTGTTCCTCACAGCGGACCCGCAGTCGCTCCATCTCCACATCTGTCCCTTCCTGATCCTGTGAGCGGGTGATGTATAGTGTCAGTGTGATATGACAATGGTTACACTGACATGCATTAAGCGCAAAAGTGACATCATTACGAGGCTGGTGACTTTTCACTTTGTTGGTGGTGAATTGTCTCGGTCTTCAGGGCATTCGAACTAACCATCTGTCCGAAAACACAATCCAAAGTAGAAGGAATAAATGTATATAGCAAACAGGCGATTAGCGCAGTAACTTACAATCGTTTTAAAGATCTAAGTGTAGTATGATTGAAATAATAGCACATTCCAGCTGAAATGCAGAGACGAATACAAATTGAAACAATAGCCTCCCGATTTCCAGGTATTGTTAGGCGCGGTTCCCACCATTACCACTATAACGAGTACCTCCAGTTTTTTGGTGAGCTGCTCGTTGGAGCGCTGCAGGGCGGCCATCTTCTCCCTATCCTCCACCATACCGGCCTGAAGGCTCTCCCGCCACTCGCGCTCAATCTGCCAATCAGAGGGCACACACGGATCAAACAACCAATCAGAGGCTCTCCCGCCACTCCAGAGGACACAGAGAGAAAAAAACAATCAGAACCTCTGCCGCTATTCTCTGTCACTTAACCCTGCCAATCACAGATTGCGTGAAGATGAAAACCGACGATTGGAGGCCACCCCGCCGTACGTAAATCTTCCAGCCAGAGCACAAAAATACGAGCTATTTTAGATCGAAACGAGACCTTTCACAGCTGGATCTCAGCTCTTAGCAGACCTGACATTTACACTGAACTCGACAAACCCTACGAGCTAGGAAAAAAAATCATTAATAATCGAGTTCTCCCTCATCCAGCAGACACTGCACCCACCATGAGATCATGAGACCTTTGACAGCTGAATTTCATAGAACTCAGCGAGCTCGACACCTAACTACATTAAGATCGGACGAAACCTTGGACAGCTGGATTTCACACTAGAGTTTGTCAGAGACATGTTTCTCGCCTTGAGGTCTGACGAAACCTTGAACAGCTGGATCTCACACTAAAGTTTGTCAGAGACGCCTTGAGGTCTGATGAAACCTTGGACAGCTGGATTTCACACTAGAGTTTGTCAGAGACATGTTTCTCGCCTTGAGGTCTGACGAAACCTTGAACAGCTGGATCTCACACTAAAGTTTGTCAGAGACGCCTCAGCTGCCCGGCGGCGCTGCTCCGCCTCCGTGTGACTGCAATAAAACAAAGGGCAGGGCAGGGAGGGTTCATTTGGGGAGAGGGGAGAGCAGAGAGCACCTAATCCATCAGGAAGAAACATACCGTAGATGTACGAGTAGGTCGCGCCCCGTGTGCGTGTCAAACAACGATTGCATAAAGCTACCTAATGCAGCCAGGTATTTGCGTTCCGTCTCTATGGAAACGTAAACAGAAATTGGCCATTATGCCTACATTTCCACGGAAACCGAGGGAAATGCCTTGTAGCGTCAGGCAGCGGCGTGCCGCGAAACAGGGCCCAGGCTATTTAATTTATACCAGCAGGCATATATCGCCAATACCAGCAGGCATATATTTACCATTTAACACACAAATAACTTCTAGATAGGTACACTCATAAAGGCAATATTCATCTAGACAACCTACCTCACTGAAATAAACAGTCTTACGGATGAACGATAACTTACACTTCGTCCATTTTTCGGCTGGTGGCGGTCAGTGTCAGTATCTTCTCCTCGAGACCAGTGACGACGTCATTGCTCTGTTTGAGAGCCTGCTGACACTCCTGAAAAGTATGACGTCATGCCGTTAGATCTGCCCAATGCCTATATCGAACAGTAAGCACACCGATATAGGTATGGAGGCGTCGTGAATGATTTACTTAGATCTCCTGTGTGTAAGTTCGAAATCAGATGTTTGCGCTTTGTAGCCTATCAAGCGCATGCTCTCAGGTCTGGAGACTAAGTGGATATCGGTCAAGGAACGAACACCCAATACTTGAGATAAGGTCTTTAATTCGGCAAATATTTAAAACGACCGCAATCGAATAATACAAGGCGTAAATTTCAGCAACTGACACTACTCGATTATGTCAATTTTGTTACGGGACACGGAATTCAAATCAATTCCAATTTCTGGATCATATTCGATGGCTTTGCAACCGTATTCGATAAAGAGTTACCCAGCATTTTTTGCGTCAAGCTCCGCGTGGCTGTGCTAACTACTAGGCGGGACTGCTGAGCATCATCAATAAAAAAGCATGAGGCAGCCCCGACCTTCGTCAACGTGCGTAATTTGGTTCCAGGAAGCCACAGCCAGCTACAAAAACAATCGAGGCGATTATATTGTATTTACCACATCAGCAGTTTCAATAGCACAGTATGCCATGCTACATCATATTCAGTAACACCTGCATCAGCATCATCCGTAGCATGCTTGGCGACAGTGACCGATGCAGCTGTGCGTAGCTTCGACAGCATCACATATTCTCCAGCAGTCGCTACAGTGAATTTACCGTGTACGACACATTGCATGGTGTCACTTCACGTCATTACTCTGACGCTACATCACTTTCATGCTAACGTCACGTCAGTCCACGTCTGGGCTGTATTTTCAGCTCTGAGCAACGCAGGCTCTATCTACCTACATTTACACCTGTGCACTGTGCAGTGATCAGTGATACGCACGCTGCCACACAGCACACTTCGATTTCCAGCAACTGGTTCTTTCGCTCCTGACGGATATATTGTTTTCAGCATCACTATCAGTTCTGCACTTTTATCGCACTGGTGGGTAACTGGCCATCCTCATTCCTCAGGTGATTATACAAATACAAAACAGCCATCTAAGAGACCAATGCCGCCAAATATTAGTAAGCGTTACCTCTTTCCACACATAATCCGAAAAGTCTTTATTTCCTTCAACATAAATCATCGACGCAGTTGCAATAAATGTCAATGACTTCTACCAAGGCTATTGCACCGTTTGGGCCATACTCAGTCATGACAAACGATGCTGACAAAATGCCTTTTCAGCAATACATTGTGGGTATCGTTTCTGGCCATTTCAACACTGTGTAAACGATCCAAAGCTGCAGTAGTATTGTATGAACATCAATATCACGGATACCGTGGTATATACATCATAAATACTAAGCAAGCACTGAAATACCTACAACGCATCGAGCCAGCAAGTCGATAAATATGTTAGCGGCTCCCAGGCTCGAACCCCTGACCCCTCGCGTGAGGAAGCAGCTGTTTCAGTGCGCGACTTGACGTCAACGGCTCCGGCTATACATTGTCATTCATGGGGGCATACAGCACTTCCCGCAGCCGCTAAATGCGGGAAAAAAACGGCAAGTGTCCGTTTTCAGCTCTAAGCTCAGTACAGGCGCTAACACCACCACCTAACTCCGTGACAAGGGCTTACAGCTGCCCGTGAAACGAAACACACTTCGCGTATGATTTCTTCTCCGAAATCTCTTCCATCATTCGGGCCGCGTATTGGTACACAAGCTTGTGGTACACCAAATCAATGAAAGTGGAGATTGAATATGAAACCAATATTACACTCATAATGCATATCACTGTTGCTCACGTAATGACAAATGTGCAACGCAATAACTACATGCAAAACGTAAAATAACTGCTACAGGGTGGACCAAAAAGGATGGAAACATTTTAAACTCGTATAAAACATGTATAATTGCATGCATGTGACTGGGAATGATACCAAACAAGAGTACATTTCGTGGAAATTCATAATGGCATCACTCTCATATGCCTTCTCCCGTTTTCAGTCTCTCACAGCAAATGTTCGAAGTGACCACCTTCGCGAGAATAGGCACAGAGCGACCAGCCTGGCGGCTGACACGATAGCCCGCTTGTATGGCTCACACAGCCTTGCTGATCGCTCTCTTCAGTTCAGAGGCTTTCTGGACCTTCCTTGTAGACCTGGCCCTTGAGATGACCACACAGTAAAACATCCATAGGGGTCAGGTCGGATGAGCAGGTAGGCCAGTTCTGACTGGCACCGCGGGATATCATCCGGTCACCGAAGTGGTTTTCGATGCACTTGAGCGTTGTTTTTGCGATGTGAGGAGGCGCACCGTCTTGCTGGAACCACATAAGGTCTATGATGAGGCTGCCATGCTTCGTTTGGACTCGCTCTCAGAACTTCCTCAGCGCCGCCTGGTATGCGCTGTTGATTGGCGGTCACGGTGTCGCCGCTCCCTTCCTCGAACCAAAGTGGACCCACGATTCCTTTTCCGCTGGGGGCACACCATTTCGGTGACCTTGCTGCTGTGCAGTGACTTCTTTATCATCTCATCTCAAGGGCCAGGTCTACAAGGAAGGTCTCTGTGACCTGAAGAGAGCGATCACCAAGACTGTGTCAGCCATACCAGCGAACATGTGTCGTCGGGCTATCGCGTCAGCCACCAGACCGGTCGCTCTGTGCCTGTCTTGCGAAGGTGGTCTCTTCGAACATTTGCTGTGAGAGACTGAAAACGAGAGAAAGCAGATGAGAGTGATGCCGCTATGAATTTCCACGAAATGTACTCTCGTTTGGTACCATTTCCATTCACATGCATGCAATAATGCATGTTGTATGCAAGTTCAAAATGTTTCCATCCTTTTTGGTCCACCCTGTATACTTGTAAAAGTAGCAGATGAGAATAAAAATCGCATCAACACGGAGTAAATATTAAATAACTATTCTCGTGACTTCAAGCAACTACGAAAAATACAATAAAACTGCATCAAAAAGCGCTTCATTCGTTGGTGACTCAATGCTAATAAGCATACGTAAAACACTAGTTTGCCTCCATCTAAGTCGTACGTAGCGGCCAGCATAACACTCAGCTAGCGACATGTCTTCTTAGTTGCAAAAGGCTCTAAGCTTCCAGACAGCTCTCGCGTTGCACTTCACTACCATCTCCACACACAGCCCACCCCTATTTCCCAATATCACAGTCTCCCAGCACCATCTAGCGGCCATTCAGTAACCACAGCTTGCCGCCCGGCCGCTAGATCTCATCCCCATCAATCGTCTCCCATCCGTCCATACTATGCTCCTGATCCTCCGATCGGGGAGTGTCAGGAGTCTGAGGAGTCAGACCGCACTCCGCCTCCATCCTGCGATTGGCCACGCCCTCCGACACGTCATCAATGACGTCACCGGGCGTCGGAGTGACGTCATCTCGCGGTGAGGGCGGCGGCGGCGTGGCGGCCGCCGGCGCTCGGCGGAGCGCCTCTTGTAGAGTGTGTGCGGAGCGGGAGGGTCGCATGGCGGGGGCGGGGGCGGAGGAGCGGGAGGAGCCGCCCAGCTGCTGGAGGCCAGACAGGAGGCGGCCCACCTCCCACGAGCGCGCCTGGAGCCGCGAGATGAGCTCCGCCTTACCCGAGAGGTCCAGCTCGCACTCCTGGGGAGAAAGGGAGAGTGAAGGGGTCAGATGGTGAGAGGGAGAGAGCAACACAGAGTGAAGGATTGGGCTGAAGATGAGAGGGCCATTGAGCAAGTCTAAAAACAGCCAGTTCACAAACATCTTACACAAAACAACACAATACAAAACATAAGCTTGATATCAAAGTAGCACGTCACAACGCTCAGGTATCTCAACATTTTAGGTCATTGGGTGTTTTTATCATTTGGGATTTGATTTTCGTCAAACCGACCAGCTAAAATTGCCCGTAGGTCGTGCAGAGAGTGCTGCGACTCATTTCCCGAACCAATATCAGCTCGGCTAGACCCAATGATTGAACGCCCACGCCCCGAACAACGTGATTACGGAGCGAGCGAAGCGAGCGTAGTCTTTCCTTAGATTAACGGAAATTTCTGAGTATGAGCGGCCGGCCGGCCGGCCGGCCGGCCGGACGCTTTTGCGAGGCTTATATCTCAGCAACCACTTGACCGATTTACACCGGGTAATTTTTGTAGGGTAGCTTCATTCCTTCTACCAAGTATTGGACTATTGCCGATGCATGTGGGGGGTGACCCCTTATGCACGTGCCACGCGCAAAACGAAGAGGTGTCAGTTTTGTAATTGTTGCAATATCTCAGTAACTACTTGGCCGATTGCGCTGAAAGTTGGCATGTAGGTAGGCACCCACTAGGCACTGCATATCCATGTGCCAGAGTTGGGGTGCTACTGCACGTGCGCACGTGCAGGGGTCGTTTCCAGATCTCGAGAACGGCTGGACCGATGGCGCTCAAATTTGGCACACGGTTAGGGACCAGTTAGTAGGGTGCCGTGCACAAGTCAGTTGGGACCCATTCTGCACGTGCGCACGTGCAGGGTGCCGCTTCCAGATCTCGAGAACGGCTGAGCCGATTGTGCTCAAATTTGGCACATCGCTAGAGACCGGTTAGTAGGGTGCCGTGCACAAGTCAGTTGGAGGTATCCCCTCGAAATTTCGCACGTGCAAGGCTCACCCTCTCGCTCGCTCCGTTAGTCGCCCCAAAAGGCGCTATACTGGTGATATTGGGTGATATGGAGCTCATAAACGGAGATAGCCAATTCGAGGAAAAAAAACGGCAAATAACTGTAATAACCTCTCTACCCTTGGAACTAGTATACTGGCATGTCAGGGAAGTTTTTAACGATATTATACCCCGTCCCGAAGCTTGGCAATTACAAGTTCCCTAAACCATGCTTTTCATTTGGATGAAGTCATATTTGTTAGCGCAATCTTCTTTGCTGACATAACTGAACATACGTGAAACTGAAAATGATTGAAACAAATAAAACATGGTTGCATGCTACATAAAAATAGCACGATACATATCTTGATATCTACAAACATTGCAATAAAGGAAGAAAACAAAACATACCGAGACGGGACCAATGATGTCTTGAACTTGTCGACAAGCACCACGAGAAAACTTGGAGCACAACAAAATACCACTATCAAAATACTTAATAGTTGGTGCACTAAATGTGTGAAGCAGCTGACCACGGTAGCAATTTGTCTCACAAATTACTCCCTTTCACTTCAACATTGCAAGAAATCGGCAAAAGTAACATCAAAATGCGATGCAAATTAAATAGCATGAAAATTATACAATATACATATCAGGCTATGCCTTACAAATTCTCAAAGCACATATCTTTTTTTTTCCTTCGAATAATCTGAGCCTTCGATACCTCACTTCGTACTGGAAGTCTGACAACTACCTCACGGATATAGCGACTGAAGAGACCACTCGGTGGAGCTGAACACCACTTCATTAATTTTTTCAGCAATAAAACAGCAACAAAGCATAACATAAAATTTAACAAAAATAAATAACTAAAACGTACGAGCAAATGGCAACGATTCCCGGCTCGCCAAATTAGATTCCATTCTAAGCTTCTCCAGGTTACGACGACCTGTGCTGCACTGCACTAGCCGATCGATCGATGTTATATTCTGACGAGTTTTATTCTCGGTTCGACAAAACCAAGAAGCCTGAGCCATATTTCTAGTCACTCAGAAACTGAAACAACTCAGATCCGTACCTGCAGATTTTGTATCTCTGGCCTACTCCCTTCCTGTAATTTGGTATATTGTTCCCTTCTCGTACATGTAGTTGGCTATACGGATTTCTGGTCAGCCCGTATAAATCTCCGTACCCATAGTTTGTTTCCGTACCTGTAGTTTGTTGTACTGGTCTCTCTCCGTTATAACTGCACTATATTGTAGTTATGTACATCTCTTCCCGTACCTGCAGTTTGTTGTACTGGTCTCTCTCCGTTATAACTGCACTATATTGTAGTTATGTACATCTCTTCCCGTACCTGCAGTTTGTTGTACATCTCCAGGTTGATAGCCTTGATGTCGTCCAGCTGTCTCCGCAGCGTCACGATCGTGTCCTGCTTTTCGTGGACGTCCTTCTCCAGCAGCTTGGTGGCCATCTCCATCTCGGCCTTCATCTGAATCTGTGGGAGGACACGGGGAAGGGGGTGTTGATGGTAGATTGGATGCGGGACGGCTGTAAGGGATGAGTAGAAATCAGTGGAAAACTGAGCGTAAGCCGTTAACAATGGACTTGGCATTAACTACTGGCCAACTACTGGCATTAACTACTCTGGGACAAAATGAAACGAACTTTTGAAGTATGCGTTACCAAGTGGAATATTTGTCCGCATTGATGAATCCGAGAGGACTTTCAAAATTCCGCGCCGGTGCGGGCAAAACCTTAATTTATCATGTTTATCCCAGTCAACATGTGGGACTCGTCCTGTGTTTCACGCACTGGCATCTCCATTTTCATCCCAAAGCCGACGACACTGCCAGGCCAGCCGCGCGCGATTCTGCATTGATTTCCCGACAATTATCACCTCCGATTATATCAATTGTCACTAGTGATGTCAATTACTGAAAATCAGGATACCGATACCAAACCAAATACCAACCAAAACCATGGTAAAATACCGAAACCGAACCAACTTGGGAATACCAGGGAAATACCAACTTTTTACCAAATTCGCAGCCTCTTATACATTAGTGAGGTTTCATAATACCAACAAAATACCAAAAACATTAGGATTGAAATACCAAATACCAAGTTGCTATCGGTTTGGTATCGGTATAACAAAAAGTCGGTATCCGATTGACATCTCTAATTGTCACCTTATCATCCCTGACACCGTTGGACCGCAATTCTCACCAACCTGCATCTCCATTTCCTTTTCGATCTCCCTGCGGTGGGCCCGCTCCTCTCTGAGCTGGGCGCGGAGATCCTCCAGCTCCTCCGCACAGCCGGACGGCGAGCCTCCCCCGCCTCCCCCTCCTCCGCCAGAGCTACTCTGCTGGGAGGAGCGAGAGGCCACCGACTGAAATTAGAGAGAGGAGGGGAGGTTAGTAAGTTGGAGTGGTGCAGTAAGGACAGCACCAGCATAGAAAGACAGATGGAGAAGAACCTCTAAGAGTGACACTTCGAGCTGTGAAGGGATACTCGTGATCGTGCACACCGCACACTGTATAGTTAGATAGGTATATGTAATTTGAAGTAGATACTAAGGAAAATTATGGTACTTGCTGGGACAATTAGTTAATATGCTCTTCTCATTTTGGCACATAAATTTGTCGCTCTAATTAGTTTTATTTCGTTGCCTTTCTCATACTTTGTTAAACAACTTAAACTTAACAACGCTTGAGCACTTCGTAAGTCTTTTTCATTGGGAACTTTGCCAGCAGCGTCTCTAATATCCCCCACTCACCAGCGTATCGGGCGTCCTGCCCGGCGCCGGCGACGGCTGTCTCCCGGCCGCCTGCTGCCGCGCTATGGCCAGGTCCTCCCTCAGCAGTGCACAGGTAGCCATCTGTTGCTCCAGCTTCGACTGGAGGTTCGTCACCGTGGCGCTGTAGTGAGGGGGGAGGGGGGGGGGTGTCAGTGGGTGGGAGATGCCGTCATATGAGAGGGAACTATCGCAATGATGTCACATGAGAGAATGCCGTGATGTTGCAAGCTGCAACCGGGCGACATTATGATAACACCGTCCAAATAATAGCGTGAGACGTGCCATTACTGAAGGAGGAGGGGGCAAATGGGGGTTCATATAAAACAAAGCCATGTTTTTTCTCATTATAGTTCACTTAGTCCAAATTCCCCCTCCCCTATAGTTTGTGTTTGTTACCCATCATCAGACAACCAGGATTCAGGAGTGCCCCCCCCCCCCCACCAGCCCCGCGACGCAGAGCAGCCTTACGTCAACACACACCAGAAACCGTGATGATTTATCAATCAACAACCACTTCTTAAAAAAGTAATAATAATTACACATCCCCCAGGCCCAACATCGCTTCCCAGCGTCTTTCGTCGCCACCTACTTGAGATGCCTGTTGAGTTCTTCGATGTAGTTTTTCTGATCGAGCACCCTCTCATACTTGCTATCGGTCATATCCTGAGCTCCGACAGCTCCCGGCTCTCCCTCCTCTGTGGGAGAGGCTCGGAGGTAGAGGGAGAAGTCGATCACCCCCTGCTGGCAGTCGAGCTCCTCCTCCTGGGGAGAGAGGGAAGGTGAGAGGGGAATGAGGGGAAGAGAGAGAGAGAGAGAGAGAGAGAGAGAGAGAGAGAGAGAGAGAGAGAGAGAGAGAGAGAGAGAGAGAACACACGCCTGTCTCCGATGTACGTACGCCATCTTTCAACACTTCACCACAGTACCCTTTTCTGGCCTCCTTACATCACAAAAAAACTATTCCCATCACCGGCCACTACTGAAATCTTCACTGACTATCGCAGCTTCACTGCATAGTTAAAACAGACACTTTCACTCCTCACACAGAGAGCTCCATCCTACCTTCACAAGTTCCATCACTTCTACACCAGCAACTTAATTTTTGTGCAGATGTTGCAGTTGAAATTCCTCCCCCCTCATTCCCCAGAGCTGCCGATGCTATTTCCACCTACCCCTACCCACATTCTTGTCTGTTTGTTGGGGGTTAAGGGCGCGCCGACTGCGAGGTCATTTTGCGCCCATACCTACCCACATTCTCTCATCCCTTTTAAAAACGACCCTGCTACCCACCTTCATACAGAGGTTGCAGTCAATGACGTTGAGCCCAACCAGCAACCCGAGCACGTGGATCGCCTCCTCCGACAACATCAGCGCACCAGGTTCATAATGCTCCTCCAGAACCTGCTGATTCTCTAGCAGCAGCCGGACGTAGTCGGGTAGCTTCTTCTGCATCAGGGCTAGCCGAAGCCAGGCTCGCGCGCGGCCCAGAGGGGTGCGTACGGTGGGTAGGTCCCGTACTGAGGTGGTGATATCGGCAGCCTCGGAGGTCAGTCGTTCCACCGTCTGTAGCACGTCCCAGAGCTCCTTCTTGGGACCGAGCAGGCCCTGTGGGACGGAAGACAGTATGTGCTCATTGAGATTTGAGACATAGTCCTTGGACGCCTTGGATTAGTAGCTATTGCAACACGTAGTTGAGTTCAATGGGGCTAAGGCTAAAGCTGACCCTCCGGCTAGACCCGAGCAAGTGCTTAGAACAACTAATCAAACAGTCAAACTCAATAAAGTTAAAAAGAATTTAAGAACTTGTAGTCTTCAAAATATAAGCGATTTTTAAAGAGCTCATGGATGATAGCTGGAGGCCCAAGCTGAAAACCCCACATGCATTTTCCGTCATTTTCCGGCCCTGGATCTGGTTCAGAGGGGAGTTGCCGACCGCTGTTCAATCTCTCACGCAAACCAACTCTCCATGCAATTCACTTCTATCACTACATTTTACCCTCATCCCCCATTAATTCCTTTCCAGCTTCCGCACTAGAATCCCTGTCACTTGTCCCTTAACCCGCGCGGGGCTGGGGTCTCCAGCCGAACGCGCGGGGCTGGGGGGGGGGGGTAAATTTTACCCCCCCCCCTGTTATCTCCCGAACTAATGGTCCGATTTGGAAAATTCAAACGCCAATCGAAAGCTCTCATCACGAACTACTAAAAACATGTACTTAATTTAAAGTTTGAGGTCAAGGTCAAGGTCAGGTCAAGGGTACAAATTGCAAGTTTCTACAGTATCGGCCTTGCACCGTAGTTGCAGAAGAATGGAGTCATGGACTGAGACTGATCGCCCAAAACGTGTTCTTAGGCTACCAAGACAATATTAGTTGCATACAATATCATTCAGAGGTCAAGGTCAAGGTCAGGTCAGGTCAGGTCAGGTCACCAAAAAACAAAATATAGAAAAGGGCATGTGCGACACATGTTTTATGGGTCATTTTACTCATAGAATTCAATAGGCACACTCAATAAGTGATATGGACCACCTCTGGATGAATTTCAGGTCGAGGTCAGGTCAAGGTCAGGTCAAGTGAGGTCAAATTTTGAAGTTGGTTGTTAAGGCCTAAAAAGGTGTCTATCTGATGCAGTTTTTCACGGCGAATCGAATGGTGCTATTTTTGTTTCCGTACGAGGTCTAGAACTTCCAAAAAAGTCATTTTTCAAAAATTTTGTGTGTCGTGACGTCATACAATTTTGAATAACTCCCACATTTTTGAACTGATTCTTCTAAAATTTGGTATGTAGGTGCACATAGACCACTTCTCTGACATATATTCCGGTTTTTTCGATAGACTCAAAATTTTGGATTTTATAATGATTTTCCCAAAAAAATCAGTTTTTTGAAAAAATTTAAGCCAAAATCCAAAATTTTCAAAAAACCGAGATAGCCATTTGATAGACAAAGTAAAATTACGTATAACCTTTTTTGTTACGTCTTGATTCCTTTAAAAATGAAGATGTTAGCGGCGTTTGAACTTTTGCCGTTTTTGAGGCGAAAATGGCGAACATGACGTCACTAAAACGTCAATTTCTCAAAAATTTTCCGACGGATTTCGCTCAAATTTTCAGGGAACGTGTCAAATTGATGTAAGAAAAGGTACTGAAAGTTTGGCGGCGCTGCGCGCCGCCGTTTTTGAGATATCGCAAAAATTCGCGAGGGGGGGGGGGTAAAATTTACCCCCCCCAGCCCCGCGCGGGTTAACCTTCCCTATTCTTTCCTCCCCAAACTCACCCGTTTCGGCCTGAGTCCATGACGCAGCGCGTGCTCCAGCACGATGAAGAAATGCTGCAGGGGGACATGGTCTGAGTCGAGCATGCGTCCGAAGGGCACCGAAGTCTCCATCAGCTCCTTGACCACCAGCTTGCTGATGTTGATCAGGTTGCTGCGCTCGATGGCCACAGGGTCTCGTCCTGAGGGGGAGAGGGGAGGGGGGGAGGGGGTGATAAGTTTGCTGGTTGTCACGGGGTTGGGATGAGTCATATCATATATTAGAGGGTTATTTTGCTATTAGTGTCATTTAGAAGCTTCCCTGAATATCATCCCTCATAAAAGTGTATTTTAAGTCAATTAGCCGAGTTTTTTCTTTTTTCAGTAATTTGTGAGATTCACAGTAAAATCAAAATAGCTTGTTCGACCAACATTTACACTGTGAACGTCGTTCGAACAAGCTATTTTGATTTTACTCGAATCTTTAGCGAAAAAAGTTTTCCATTAGTAATCGTCTTATCCATTAAAAGATATGAGGTGTGTAAATTGTCTATCCATTAGCGAGACCCACAGGTCACCCACATTCCTAATTACCCAAATACTATGCCAACGACCAATACTATTTATCGCGTGATCGGCCCAGTCCACTGCAATTCCACCGGGGATCACATCCATTAGTGGAGACAGATGACGCACTCTCCGAGATCGGCGGCTGATATATCGGGCCAGACGTCCATTCAGGTAAAAATAGCCGGGACAGAAGGTAAGTGGTAAAAACTACACTCTCGCTCACATGCACAAGGCTAGGGTTCACGTCATACTATAGGTTCTTTTTATAGGAAAATATCGGCAAATATTTCAGACGAGCAGCGACTTCGAAAGCGTCATAAGTATTGAATCATTTCTAGCAATCAGATCTCCCTAACGCAAGAACATTTGACTCCCAAAATAACCGGTCGTCCCATTCTTCCCATTCCGTCCTGTTTTGTACTCTAACCTTCCTACCTCGTCCCGTCCTGTCCTTCCAGGCTCCAGCTTCAGTCGTTATACCTCGTCCCATTCGGCCCCGTCCCACTCCGCTCTATCCCGTCCTGTCCCACCTCGTCCTATCCCGTCGGGCCATCCCGTACCCCGTACCATCATATCCGGGCGAGACCGGTCGGTTGTTTCCAGAGGGCGGGCGTCCCATTTCTGCGTCCTGTAGCTCCTTGAGACAAAGCCAGTCTCCATCGACGGATACACGAAAGTTGCAGAGGTAGAGAGTCTCTACAGTGCCCACTGCAGTGTCGTCAGACATGATGGCTTGTTCAGTGTTTGTTGGTATAGCAGGTGTAGAGAGCTGGGCTAGAGCTGGTAAAACTGGTAACGGCAGGAGATACCTATTGAGCTGGTACAGCAGGTAAGCACAGCCGGATCAGCGGTGATTCAGCCGGTACAACGTGGCAGAGGCGCTACCAACAGCAAATAAAACGCTGATATAGCCGTTACGGACAGTCCGCAAAGGCCGCGATGTAGAACCGGTAGAGATAATTAGGTGCTTCAAAGAAGAGCGTTTGAAGATGTGGGGAGTTGCTTCAGACGACAGCTTAAGGTTCGCAGAGAGTGTGGACTGTAGAGCTAGCTTCAGTTCATGTCCTGAGCTGTTCGATACTTCTCATCGATTGCTCCGCAAAGCTCAAATAAAGTATTTGAAGCTTCTCTTTACTCCAGCAATATCTTCTTCACAGTACACTCTTCGTCAGATTCAAGTTCCGCCAATAACCTCTTACCAACACCTCGGAGTTAGCACTCCTCCAGACGTTTCCAGCTCCGTCCCAACTGTTCCAAGGGTGTGGTTGCGTCCGTTCGACCCAACCAACCACCACCGCTCACAGCACGGCAACGCTCCACACAAATTCCAGCCACAGCTCTCGACTTTTCCTCTCCTCAGAGTCTCCTGAGCCGATCAGTGGAGACAGTTCCAACCACCGTGTATCGTCTCCGCCCCAGTCCCACCACACACTTCCACATACACCCGTCTCCAGCGACACGCCAGCACCGACTTGACGCAGTCGCCGGCGCCGACGAACAATCGATGGTCGGGCGGCAGCGCGGCGGCGGTCGGGCGGCAATCAATGTGAGCCGACCCCCACCCGGCCCCCCTACCACCCAGGCCACCCTCCACCCAGCGCGGTGGGTCGGACAGGGGCGTAAACAAGGACGACTTCGGAGTAGTTCTAGAGAAGGTTCTGTGTAAAAGTTCAGTGAAATATGCGACAGACTGTAGGGAATATTGAGCTGAATTGGTTGGATCGGATTATACAGGAGGTTAACGATTCAGAAGAAAGCAAGTATCGATCGATACTTCTTCTGGAGCAAGAAACATGTGGTGATAAGACGACTTTATCAAGGATGTCTTACCAGTACAAAACAATGGTGACACAGCGTTCAGTAATTTAAGTCAACTGTCAAAGTCATCCCACTGCCAACCATCCTTTTCTACGGAGTTTCTACAATAAAGACAAAGAGCCATGCATCTGTTCCAAACGGCATCCGGAAATCCCAATTCCAAAATCAAGCATAGGTACCAGCGTTAAATGCCGGAGTCCCAACATCCACAAATAAGGCCTCTGAACCCAGCGGTCTGTAGGAGATTACCGACGTCACACGATTACCAGAGGCGGACTGTGTATAGCCTCGGGGCATGGTCGGTCAGCATGCCTCTCAGTGCGCTATCTGAAATCCCTTTGGCCAATCGGATCGGAGACAGAAAATCGCATTTACTAAGGACGCGCTCAAAGGATGGATATAATTCAAAAACGATTTAGTTGGACGTCAAGAGAAAACAAGCGCCCAAGAGCAGGAATTGATATGCCTGGACCCTGGAACATTATCTGTAAGGTAGACAGTCGCTTACACTGAGTTCGTAAACCCCATATCTCACAATGGAAAAATTCAACCACAGTTCGACGAATCGCTGGAACAAATAGTTTCACTATTGAAAAGGGCGAGCCCTGGCAAATATTACGGAGATATCTGCCATGACCCACAAACCCATTACAGTACAGCTTGATCAAATGGAAAAAGCGCCGAAGACATTGGATTTAACCCAATTAGTTTCTCGCCACTCGGTTGTCAACATTTGCCGCCACCAGCCACCACAGGCCGAATGGACCGCCGCTCGGGGCGATCTGGTCCGCGGGTGCTGACCTTGCCCGAGCCAGACGGCCAGTCGGTAGTGGGTCGCGCACGGGGCATGGAAACCAGCGCTCCGAACCGCCTGTCGAGATCTTTTGTTATTTGAAAATGTGTAACTATGCATTCAAGCCACTTTAAAAAGGGATCGGATCACAAACAAGATATGATGCTGCAGTGAATCAATTATTCGCAGAGACCGACGATAATCGACTTCCAAGGTAGGTCCGGCCACACGGGCACATTCTTCTTTTCCTTTTCGATATTTCCGCATTCGAGTTGTGCATAATTCCTACGTGGGCCGTCGGGCTGTTACTGTCATTACTCCGCACTACGTGACTACAACACGCAACTTCACTAGCTTCCCTCAAATGACATCAGATAACGCTCCAATCATAAATACTGAAATACGAACGTGCCCACACAGATGGACATAGCCAACCTCGCCTAATGACATTATCCGACTTGTGCTACGACCACTGCCATTAACCCTAGCCGTTGAGGCAGCCCTTGACTAGCTAACTAAGCCCTAGGCGGTGTTTCACGGCACGCTGCTATTCCATTTCGCGAGCTGACTTCACACTTGTGGTAGTGTTGGAGGAATAGACTTGTTGACGTCTCCATGGAAACCCAATTTGACACGTGTAATAGCAGCGTGCTGCCATCATCGGTGAAACACCACCCTGATGGGCGAAGCAGCCTGAACGAGGGCCGAAACAGCCTGAACCGGGTTCAGTTGCCGTTTTTTATCAGCATACTGCCAGCCTGCTGACCTTTCTGGGCGCCTTCTCATTGGTCAGATCCACGTTGTATGTGTGCCTCACCACTGAGAGGCTAGAAAACGCCAGCAATGAACTCCATATACAGGGTGGGGCAGCATAATCGGGAATAAATATCAAACGGGATTATTTGGTCATGAATTTAAAAATACAGCTCCAAGCACTATTTTAGCAACATCCCATCAATTGGTCACCTTTTACCTATCCCTCATCCTATGTGACCGCCCTCGGCGTCGATGACCTTCTCAAGGCGGGTCCAAAAGCACGCGCATGCACGTGCAACCTCCTGCTTGTCCATGATCGCCCATCAGCATCGTACCTTGCACTGAAGACCGTCTTTACTGATGATAAGTTGTTCATTAAAGGGACCCTCCCACCTTCAAAAAAGTTAATGAATTGGCATAAAAGTGATGTAGCGTGAATCACAAAGAGCGAAAATGAACATCTACCAAATTTTACCGGAAAATGTTCACCCGTTTTCGAGATATAAGACTTTTATTTTTGTTTACTTTTTGGGAAATCCGCTGTTTCTATGACGTCACATAAAGGTTTTCTTTACGTCGGCATTTGGAAGCAATAGTTTGGTATCAAAGTGCGACAAATATTGCGCGAATGATGCGTTTATCTTATCAAGGTCAATATATGATGGCCAATAAAGGATTCCAGGACAATTCTTATGGCATTTCTTCGTATCGCAATTCTTCGTCTGCACATCTTCGTCAGGGCATTTATTCGTACCTATCGCATTACTTTGTCTCGCACCAGGGTATATGAAAATCGGCTCGCATTTCTTCTTCAACGCAAATATATGCAAGAGTAAGCATTGAGGGACAAATAAATGCACCGACGAAGATTTGTAGACGAAGAAATGCGGACGAAAAATTGTGCTACGAAGAAATGTCATGCGAGGATTCGTTCGGGTACCATGACATTTATGTGATTTCAAAGTCAAGGTTCACAGCTGATCTGCTAAATCAAGCCAAGAATCCAAACTATCAAAAAACTATAAATATTTGTTTGTCTGCAGTGGCGTATCTAGGATTTCTCTCAGGGGGGATCCGCAGTCAAAAGGGCCCTTGACTGACTGGGTTGAAAGGGCCCTTAAGTGGCAAAAGGGCCCTTGAAGCCTGAGTTGAAAGGGCGTTAGCCCGCGCCCCGTAAGGGAGGGGGGGCGAAACGGCCCCCTGTCCTCTTCCGTAGCTATCTCCTAAATGACTGCAGATATCGCCACCAAACTTTCAGGACCTCTCCGGGCATCCATTTTACACATTGTGACCTTTTTCCAGAGGCTATGATAGGTTGGCCGCAAATACGTCAGAATGACGTCATGTTCTGCCATTTTCGACCCAAAAAAAGGTTTCGCAGGAAGAGCTATCAGGCCTACAGAGCTGTAGGAACATGAAAATGTTCCGATATAAAAAGTGTACAATTAACAGGCTTAGGTCAAATCTGAGCACAGTTTACAAAAAGTGCATTAAAAGAGCTTTGTTTGTTTTGTTGGGTTGGACCCAGGCCCTTTCGGCTTTCGGTCTGACAGGCCATTTCAGGGCCGGAGGGATGATAGGAATTGAGGGAGACATTGGTCTGGGCGGGCACCTTGGTGACTCACTGGGGCTGAGCCTGTCCAACAGGACAGGCCGACCAGCCTCCCAAGTGCTCACTGCGCCCGGTTATGAGTGTGCTTCCTTAGGAGCTGCAGTGCGCTCCAATGGGAGCCGCCCGCATGGAATAAAGTTGCCCGTCCAGGTCCAGCCCGGATCAGGGGTTGCGGCATGGAGGAGAAGGATTTGAATGTCCTGAGGATGGAAACGGCGAAAGGGGTGTTAAAAGAGCTATTAACTACGCTTTTCCCCGGTACTGTAGCTCTATTCATTTCCGAATCATGCGGTGGTTTGTTGAAAATTGTCGAAATTGGACCTGAAAATTGGCGAAATTTAACCTTGGATGACCTATGTGAACTGAATTTTGAACTGATCTAAAAAGTGACAGGCGTAATTTCGTCATTATTGTTTGCTTGCGTCCCTTCGAACACTGCCTTAAGCGTGTTGGTACGTGGCTCAGAAGCCGAGTTATAGATGCAGGGGTGCGGAGCCGGAGCTGGAGCCGGAGGAGCCGCCGGTGCCGGCATATTTTGCCTGGAGCCGGAGCCGGAGCCGGAGCCGTGAAACAATATAGCCCGGAGCCGGAGCCGGAGCGGTAAAAAAGGCGGCGACTCCGGCTGTTTTTTTTTTTTTTTTTTTTTGAAGAGGAAAACATTATTGACCTAGTTCGGTTCCACAGTGCCTGCAAGGCAGTAAAATATGTGGTATTCAAAATAGCCTTGTCATGCAAATACAGAAACAGCGTGAACCAATCCTTC